TAGTTTTGGCAGGTGATTAATTAAAGCAGGAACAAAATTCTAACTGCAGGGTATGGGTACCGTTCAACATGATGGAATCTGCCTTCTTTGAAATGAGATCAGTTAAAGAAGTAAATTTGACTGTACGTGTGTTCGAGGTGATTCGGAAGACGCTTGGGATTTGCACAAATTCGCTGAATAAGAACATTAAGATTCAGTTTTCAAATATTAAAAGATCTGGCATTAAAAATCTGACTTGATAATTACATTTTGTGGTAAAATGGGAATACGCTGCATAAATGATTCATGTATTGCAAATGTCTGACTCTACGGCTCATTAAAAATTAGGTCAGGCAGTAACAGTAGTAGTAGTAGTAGTAAAATATTTAAGGTCCAGAAGTACTGTAGAACACGTTTCTGGTCCATTCTTCCATGCACAGTATAGTTGGCTGCAGTTTACATTACACATTCTCGACTTGGGTTGCCTTGAGTAAAGCAACAACAACAGAAAGAAAATAATTTCCATGAGTTCCTCCATCAGGTTTTGTTTACCAGTCTCTCCTCTCTTCTAACAGAATATAGGGAATACACAATGGATCGCCTCAAGAAATGTTCTGTAGCTACGCCAGCAGGCGTTATACACCAGGGAGCAAAACTGGACACAATAATAATGGAGAGAAAAGTTTTGCCGTTTTTTAGATCCTTATCCCCAGAATATAACATTTGACCAGAGGGTGACCACTAAGTAAAGGCCACGTTGTTACCTAAATCTGTTGAAATTTAAATTTAAATTAAAGGCTACTTATTGTTAACTACTTCAATTATGAATTTTGGAAAACTGACCCTACTGCCACTCACAACCCATTCCAAACTTTTGGTTGACAGGATAAGACTGGTGATATCCGATTGTGTACTGTATTTTTCTTATTGTCAACAAATCCTGTGAAAAGAACAATAAATATATGCTACTAACAAACTAAGGCCTGATATATCTGACTCTCATGTATTATGTAAGCAACAACGCCCAACGAGGTCTCCATTATCAGGAATTAATGGAGCCGTGAGCAGAGGGAACTAGAAACATCTCCCGTTGCCAGGTGTGTCTTTGGTGAGTCCTATTTATTGGAGTAGTGAACGTTTCCATTGCATTAGAACCATATGGCATGGTAATGATTATTCCACGTATTAGGAAAGACCTCAGCTGTTACCAGGGAAACAGAGTTATGGATTGTAAAAAATAAAAAAATAAAATTTTGATTGCATAACGCATGAAAATCTAAAATAATGCTCAAAGTTTTTTTATTTGGGCAAGTTATACCATGGTATAAGCGGGAAAATGCCCTTCGAGGGCTGCAAGTTGGACGGTTCTGGCCTCCACGTCGTCGATTAATTCCTGATAATGGTCACCACATTGGGCATTATAGAAATATAATATATATAAATAAATAAATATATATCTATATAAACCTGTTTTTAAAGGTTTATCTCTTCAGTGCAGACTAACAGGCTTGGGGTTACAGACAGGATAGATAAATCATTAAGTATTGAGAAGCACATTGTTAGTGTTGGTCTTTTTATGGAATTCGTTGACAATAAAAATTCAGGACATCCCTTACATTTGAGCGTCAAACTAATTTATGTGGTATAGTTATGCTTAAGTTTTGTTTGTTGGGCAACATAATAAATGCTGGCCTGTTTTCAGGGCCCATGGGATCAACACTGTGTATCCATGTGTTGTGAACAGATCGTCATGTTTCAAACTCAGGTCTGGCTGTGCCCTGAAACACTATAAAAATGAATGTTTGTATGATTGACGTGACTGGTTTTGGTCTGGAAATGCTGCCAATTGTGGCTATTTGCAGACAACTCAACAAGTTTATTTTTCAGCTGTAAAATCTCTCTTGGCCACAAAAAAAAAAATCTGTTATATGCTTATGTAAAAGAATACTATTGGATGATATATAATTTTCCAATTTTTCATAGGACACCCTCAACCCTTACACCCTCACAAATATCAACTTAAAAACATGTTAAATGCTCAAATTCTCTATGTAACATTTATATTAGCATCTCAAAGTACAGCTGAGGCTGACATGAATTAAGTCAAAGTGGGAGGCGGTCCTCCCTAGGGGGGCTCAAGGGGGTTTCAAGGGGGGCTCCATGAATAAAAGAGAAATAAATATTACATTAATTATCAAAAGGAGATCATGTAGAATAGCCGTGTGTGATTTGGTTAGAGAGATAGTTCAGAGATATAGTAGTTTGGGGGAATTTTAAAGTTTTTACTACTTCAGCCAGAAACTAATACATTTCTAAGGAAAGACCTTTTTTATATTTCCATACATTGGATTTAAGTGTCCTAAACATTTAATTTTTAGTTTTTCAATAAACTCATGGATGATATTGTGTCTCAGGGCTCTTTGGATCATTGAAATCAATCTCAGACACCTGTGATAATTAGTTTTCCAGGTGAGCCCAAGCAAAGGAAAACTACTTAAGAAGGACGTTCCACATTATTAAGCAGGCCACAGGTTTCAAGCAATATGGGAAAGAAAAAGGATCTCTCTGCTGCCGAAAAGCATGAAATAGTGCAATACCTTGGACAAGGTATGAAAACATTGGATATTTCAAGAAAACTTAAGCGTGATCATCGTACTGTGAAGAGATTTGTGGCTGATTCAGAGCACAGATGGGTTCATGCAGATAAAGGCATAATGAGGAAGGTTTCTGCCAGACAAATTCTTAGGATTAGGATAGCAGCTGCTAAAATGCCATTGAAAAGCAGCAAAGTTATTTGAAGCCGCTGGTGCCTCTGGAGTCCCGCAAACCTCAAGGTGTAGGATCCTCCAGAGGTTTGCAAGTGTGCATAAACCTATTATTCGGCCACCCCTAAACAATGCTCACAAGCAGAAACGGTTATAGTGGGCTCAGAAATACATGAAGACTAATTTTCAAACCGTGTTGTTTACTGATGAGTGCCGTGCAACCCTGGATGGTCCAGATGGATGGAGTAGTGGATGGTTGGTGAATGGCCACCATGTCCCAACAAGGCTGCGACGTCAGCAAGGAGGTGGCGGGATCATGTTTTGGGCTGGAATCATGGGGAGAGAGCTGGTAGCCTTTAGGGTCCCTGACGGTGTGAAAATTACCTCTGCAAAGTATGTAAAGTTTCTGACTGACCACTTTCTTCCGTGGTACAAAAAGAAGAACCGTGCCTTCCGTAGCAAAATTATCTTCATGCATGACAATGCACCATCTCATGCTGCAAAGAATACCTCTGTGTCATTGGCTGCTATGGGCATAAAAGTAGAGAAACTCATGGTGTGGCCCCCATCTTCCCCTGACCTCAACACTATTGAGAACCTTTGGAGCATCCTCAAGCAAAAGATCTATGAGGGTGGGTGGCAGTTCACATCAAACAGCAGCTCTGGGAGGCTGTTCTGACATCCTGCAAAGCTATTCAAGCAGAAACTCTCCAACAACTCACAAGTTCAGTGGATGCAAGAATTGTGAAGGTGATATCAAAGAAGGGGTCCTATGTTAACATGTAACTTGGCCTGTTAAGATTTTTTTGATTGAAATAGCTTTTGATTTCTGTAAATATGATCTCCTGATGCTGCAAATTCAACAAATTACCATTTTAGTTCTCTTTACAACCTTTTAAAATGTTTTGATCTCTGTTGTGCATCATAATTTGGAACAGTGCATTTTGAGTTTTTCATTTAAAAAAAAAAAAATCTGTTATCATTAGGAGACTTGTTAAATAAAATTTGAATTATACTCTAACGGTTATGACTTGAAAATTATACTGACTGTCATTTGCATCAACTTTTTAAGAAAATCCGAGAAAAATATCATTTGCATAATGATTTGGAATGCGGTGTAATGCTGATCCCATAGACATCCAGGAATTGAGCAAAACTATAGTTGACTAAGAGAGGTGAGGGGGCACATTTTTCCAAAGTTTGTCTGAGGGGAGGCCGACTGTTTCATACTTCAAAAACCATGAATTGGGTCATTGGTTTTAAAACTATCCTCTCAATAACATATGAGCGTTAGATAAGTGGAACTTTGACCTGTTGGTGGCGCTAGTTGAAAAGTCAGGGGATCACCATGCAGTTGTGTTGACAGTGCGAGAAGTAGCTGTGTGATTGAGAGAGAAAAGACGAGCAGATTGACCTACAACAGGAGGTCCGTAAGTTTTATCAACTTCGATTTAAGACTTCTAAAGACACCTGCAACAGCAGGTAACAGGGACAATAACAGAAACAGCCTTACTGGAAAGGAAACCATTGATAAATCTGAGCTCAAATTGCTCATTCTTTCAACTAGAGAGCAGCAACTTGAAATGTTAGGTTATATGATATCATTGATGAATTTAATTTAAATAATCCGTCATTAAATGTTTTTAGTACTTGCAGATATCATGTTCCTAAACTATTTTTTCTAAAAAAATAGTTTATTTCTTGATAAAATTTCTAGACTTTGAGGGCTTTCCAGTTCACATAGCATGTAAAATAAATATCATAAATCAGGGATCTCAAACTTTTTTCAAATCATTTTTTCAAGTTAATTTCATATTAATTATTAATAATTTCCATATTAATTTAAACAACCTCTTCATATACTATCAAAACAGAAACACAACTCTATTTTAAAATATGTATTTTGTTGGGTTAAAAAAAAATGGCAAAGGTCAAATATGCCTGTTGATAAGGCCTTCCTTTATTGTTTGGCTTCAAATGACAAAGATGATATAAAACAATGATATAAAATTGCATTAAAAAAACTGCTGTTCTGCATTTTTTTTAAGTATAATGTTAGTAATGGAAACTTTTTCAGAATATTGCGCTTACTTGTAGAACTTGAACTTTGAAGAGGCCCTCCCATGAGACAATACCGGCAGTGGCCTCGAGCCAATTTAAGTTTGAGACCCCTGCCGTAAGCAGCGAGCATTGCGAAACCAGTTACGCTAACAGATGGTAGAGCTGGTTCTTTACAACAACAAAAAAACTCAAACATTTTTTGTGCTGAAAATCTGTGAGATTTTATTTGCCCTGGGCTATGAAATACAACCACAAAGACACTGTGCAAAGAAAGCAAAGATTAAGTCACACTTATGGAGAGACGGCAAGCACATATTACACAAACAGAAATGATATATCTGCATGTACACAGTATATTGCCAAAAGAGTTCATGCTACAAACAACATATAAAAACCAATGAAATTAAGGCTCGAAAACTTTTGTTATAGGAACACACCTCAATCCAAATATGTAAATCATTAAAATATAGTTATATTCAATGTCATTCAAATGTTTAATCCCGTAATACTGTTTTCTTTGTTATATTTACTGTTATCTACTGTTTTTACTAGTCTATAAAAATCCAGCAAGATTTAGTTTTTTACAATCTGATTGAGACCGTATGGTGCAACTTGCTTTTAGACACTACATTTGCTTTTAGAGCTACATTTAATGCTACGGTAGATGCTGGTTTTATTAAACTATACAAGGTGTTTCCCCATTAATATTCTGCCAAAATACAAACACTGCTCAGATCAGTTTCTCAATCAAAATAACACAAACACTCCTTTCTGAGTGAGAGAAAAAGTTCGAACAAAATTCAAAGCTTCTGCGCTGATACACACCAACTTAAAAGCATTAGAAGAAATGATAAATGAAACACATGGACTTAACCTAAACATTGTGCCGCCTACATAATGTAAGGTTACATTTTTTTCAACAAAAGCAGTTTTATGGCAATTTATGGCCGTCTTCAATACAATTTCAAGCAACAACTGATATTTTGTTGCGCTGGCTGTAAATATACTTTAGTTTAATAGTATACACTTAAAATCTTGTTGTCTTGTAACTGACTGTTTGCTAAGCCCCGCCCTTCATAATTACTGTTGCTATGTCTGTCAAGCTTTTCATTCTCGCAGATTTCAACAACGGTGGAATATTTACTATCTAAATATAACACTATCTCGGGTAACGAGTCTGGCTGGGGGGGGGGGTAATGTCAGCCTGAACTCTGATCGTATCTAGGACCAGCTTCCACTCAGTGGGGAAATACTATAGAGTGGATGTTCCAGTTCTGGACCAGACTTTACTTCATGTATCAAATAACGCCACAAAATAATGTAACCTAGTTAGTTATAGATGGGTTTCTTGGCCTTGGAAAGTTACTACTGTAAGCTAGTTAGTCAGACATGCTAATGATTGCAGTTTTTGTTTGAGTGGATATTACACACTGAAGTTAGTAGTTACGTTATTGTTAGCTATGTAACGCTTGATAACTACTGATCGTGTTTTTAATGATGATAATAATAATACATCATATTTGTAGAGGACTTTTAAACTGGACAATCAAACGTTTGCAGCTTACTTTAGAGCAGATAAACACTGTTCAATCCATCCTTTAAACCTGCCGCTTCAACATGTGGAGAAATCTAAAGCTTGACAGGCCTGCTGTGCCTTGTTACGGTTGCTAGGCTATGATTGCACAATCGCTGGTTGGGGGAGGGGTTTAGCAACACAATACATTTCTCTACATTCCAACATTTGGCACTGCAAGAAGTGAAACAATGAATACATTTTTATTTTTCAATTTGATTGATTACTTTTTTTTTATCACCAATGGCTCTCCAAATTATCTTGGATGTGCTTGGCTCTATATATATATATATATATATATATATATATATATATTTATTTTTTTGTTGTTTTTAAAAATGTGGATATTAATATTTCACTTTTTAAAAGTGCAAGCAAGCAAGTACAAATAAAGCAAATTCACGTAGAGCATGACCTTTTTTTTCTCCTTTTTTTCATACAGAGTTTAAATCTGTAAAGCACAGAGTTAAAAAATATACTACAAAATTGTCTTAAAAACAGGAATATAAGCAGATTGGTATTGCTGTAGCTTATCGATTATTGGTAAAACATTTCCAAGCTGGTGGGAGAAGGGGCGGCAATACACACTTCAGACAGTCAATTAAGTAAAATAAAATAAAAAATACAGAATATGAATCTGAACAACAGTAATGGAAGATATTGTCCTTTTGTTTATAAGTGCTATAAACAATATCCTCAAGTCCTCACTCATCGTCGCTCTTGCTCTTGTCTGACTGATCCTGTAGAAAGAGAGAGAGATAAAGAGCATTAGAGAGAGAGAGAGGTATAAAGACAGCAGAGGCAGAGGAAAGATAAAGGTTTATTTTCTGTAGACATCAACAAGAGGTAGCAGAAGTCATCACAAGCTGAATATATTAACACCCTGGAATAAGAAATAAAGATCTCCAGAGGAAAGAAGGTCTGAAGGTGAAGCCGGTGCCCTTTCCTTACATCCTCTTCTGTCTAGTTTCTGGGCAGAAGCTGTTGAAGGGGGAGCTATAAAGGAGGATGAGGATGAGGATGAGGATGGAGTCTGGAAATTCAGGAAAGGAAAGTTCAGTTTTTAAATCTGTGGGTAAGAAGCGAGTGGGTTGAGAGATAAAGAGAGACAGTCTTTTCTTTGAACACACTGCACACGTCAGTGAATGTTTCCACCATGACTGATAGACAGCTGAGGAAATCACACACTGCATTTGTATTCACAGAGTAATGGAGCTTTTGACCATGATCTTTTTTTGGTTGAACTGTTTACATTACCCTCATACACATCTGCCTCAGGCTGCGCACTGAAGGCATAGAGGAAACAACTTTTGGTCTCTATAGATGTAATATTAAGGTAGCACTCACAGCCGTATTAATGAAATCAAAATGTCTTTGTAATGTGCTTAATTAGGGCAGTGCAATATGACAATATAAAATGAATGAATGAATCTTTTCATAATTAGCTCTATTGTTTGTTTTGTTGTGTCGTAATCATAGACAGCAAAGCCTAACAGTTTGTCTTATTCACAAACAGGATTTTATAACTCTAGTCTCAATTTTCAGGTTAATCAGCTTTTATCTGCAATCAATTATTTACACCCCAGCCTGTTCCACCTTTATAGCATCAGAAAACATAAATACATTTGATTACCGGTATTCAGTACTTTTCTAAAATCACAAAAAACAAGTTGTGTTTTTTTTTTTTTTGGTGATGACACAACTTGCAATGCCCTATATTTAAGAACATTGGTTAGTGCTCATGTAATAAATATGAAAATGTATTGTAAATAGCATACAATTAGAAATTAGAACAATGAAATAAGTCTGCTGACAAATGTGTTTTACTTTTAATTTCAAGTGACCTACAACCAGCAGGTCTTTACCTCGCCCATCATACTGTATTTATCTCACTGTCTCCGTATGTTGATACAGGCTTACTGGTTGACCTTTTCACTCACACACAAACTTAAGCTCTAATTAAGTATCCAACTGAACCTATGAACATGCAAATCAGTATGTCCTTAGATGTGAGGGCTTTGATGGAAGATACTCAGCAGTCGTGGTTGAAAGCAAATGTCATCCAAATGACAGAAAAAGGGAAAGGTATAATTACTCCAGGAAGCTACGGAGCCCTGTGTTTATACTCTGAAAAGGCTGATACTGGAATAAAAGGGTCTACTGTGTGACCACGAACTGCAAGACAATTATATAATATGTATTATATAAAGCATCTAACGTTATAAAAATCTGAATACTTTTAAGAATAGATCTGAAATTGTTTGCCAGATCTGGATCAAATGCAAATGAAAAATATTCATACTTTTTCTTTTTATTAAAATAACAAAGGTGATGGTTTTCATCTCCAGTGGTTGAGATGTTTTTATATTCTTTACTTAAAAGTGATAATAACACAACGAAAAGCTACTCCATTAAAAGTACAGAAGTATTATTAGCAAACTGTATATAAAGAATAAAAGTGATTTAATTAGAAAGACTATTCTCCAATATACTCCTTGCTTTTATTCTTCCAGTAAATTAAATTTCAAACTGAACTAAATAGGCTGTATTGTTCAACCACGTCTAAACCAAAACTGTTAATTGCTGTTCTGTAATGCCAGGATCAAAGGCGAGGTGACAAACCTGCCTTCATAGAGAGGGGCAAAAGGGCTTAATGGGGATCATACTTCTACTTTTCCACGGCATTTATGGTGCTACAATCGTTTATACACACAAAAAGGGATGGAAGTATGCTTTCACACCTCCGCACACCTGGCTGGTTGCCGCATGAGGTGTGTGTGATTGTTGCACTGATGAAACTGTAGTACTGAATTTACCCCCTTATACAAAATGCTGGCTTTACAACAACACTAACCTGGACACGGAAACTGCGACTGTCACCCTGAATTCAGAGTAATTTATGGTGTGAATGTTAAGTGTTATGTGTCACACGTTTGGTGGAGATCAGCAGCTACACCAAGGGGCCGTCCCCACAAATACGTTTTTTTAGAATCTGGATAAATACTTCGTATCGTATCGGCCTCGCGTCCAGACGGATACGGCGTTTTCAGGGTGTGAAAACTGTATTTTTTGGAAACGGGTCCCAGAGTGGGAAAATCTGAAAACGCTGGATTGCCCGGAGTCGTCTGGACGGCGAAAACTGATTTTTTCAGAAACGATGACGTATTAGCCCCGCCTCTCTAGCCTTTAACCTCAGCAACCGCCGCTAGATGCGTCATAACAACAACAACAATGGCGGACTACTACTAAACAGCGCATGCTCCATGGTTTCTCTTACAGTTTTAGTGTATTGGTGTGGAGGCGTCACAGCACCACATACAGGCCTGGCATATGTACTACAGCATTTTGGGTTGTTTCAGTGAATCTGTGTGGACGCAGATATTTCAGGAAACAATGTCGTGTTTAAGAAGATTTTTTTTTAAACGACATCGTATTGGGTGAGGCCGTGTATTCGTGTGGACAGGCTCCAAGTGACATCATTCATTTTGTGTCTCACAGCTTTTGTCAAGGATTGAATCTACTGGTCATCCCAATAAAGTATCTAAATAAAATAATAAATAGATTTCAGTGAGAGACTGTAGGAAAATCTTGAATGTGTGGTGTGCATGTTATGTATGTATGTGGTATTATATATGAAGGAATAACTGCAGTTTCACTCACGTGGCAAAAAGGAAAAGCAGGAGGAGAAAAAGGAGAATACAAGGTATCCGTTAGATGGTAATTAAATAAAAATGGATACATTAATGGTGGTTACCATGGCTTTAATTTCCCATTGCTGGTTTCTTTGTATGTTGGCAGCCAATTATATGATGCTAGACTGTTAGTACAAGTCCAGTGAAGAGGAGGATAAACAGGATATGTGTGTATAATACAGTAAAATACAGAGGGGTGGATAGAGGGACACTGAGGGATGGCTTTATGATAGAATATATAATGGCATACAACTAAAGAACTCAATTAGTTTTACTACAAGGTAGATTCACTGGATGGATTTTATTTTATTTACTTGAACACATTTTGTCACCCATGTGCAGCCATTATAGCATTCATTTTAATAGGAAAGGTATCAGAGAAAACAACTGCAGACTAAAGACTATTACTGTAATATCAAACTTCAGTATTTAGCATTTGAGCTGTTTTCAATTGCTGAAATAATTGATTATTCCAATAAGATAAAATTAACTGTTGGTGTTCATAATGGTTTAACAAAGTAATTTATCAAGCAAGATTTGCCAAACTGGTTCTAGTTACTCAAATGTGAGGTTGGGTTGCTTTTTATATCACTGGAAACTGAATTTTAGACCAAAGGTTGGACAAAACCACCAATTTGACAACATTATAGAATGTGACAGCCTTTTTTATGGACTAAACAATTAATTGATCAGTCTTATCAAGTCATGAAAGACATTTTAGATTAATTCATCATTAAAATAATCCTTTATTGAAGCACTAATTGCACTCCATTCACATGCTTCAAACCTAAACTTCATTACTTACCGCTGTGAAACTGATGTTTGTGAGCTTTGTATTTAGAGATTCTGTGGTAGAAATGCAAGTTGTAGTGTTTCACTGTAAATGTTTGTGATAACCTAAAGCACTGCTGTTGTGTTTCTTCTATCAACAATTTATCTGAAATTTATTGCCTACACCTGTCATCCCATGTGTGAAAGAGCTGCTGATTACACGGCTGGAAGGAAAACAGTAGGACTTCAGATCGTGACGACCACAAATAAGATCCACTATGTTCAATATTGTCAAACAGTGCTCAGTGTACCATCTGTCATGTTTGATAAGAGAACAATTAGGGATAAGTTGCTACTCTGAGCTTTCCTAAGACGTGGTGGCCAATATTATTAAAATTATTTGATAGCTGTTTTGTTTATTTATGTCAGTTTTTTCCATATGAATTAATTTCTCTCATTTTCCCATTTAGAATTTTATTCACATAAAGGTTGAGTTTGAACCTTTTTTGCCAGAATTAGCCTTTTCATGAGTGAACTGTGAACTCTTCTGCTGAAAGATGCGCTAATGATACAGTGAAATGTAATGAAGTGGAATGACCTACATTGTCATCCAGGTCCTCATCACTGTCGTCGTCGCTGACCACCGGCTTGGCCTTCCCTCGGCTTTGCCTCTTCTTGCCTTTGTCATGGCTGCGCGCCTCCTTACTCAGCTTGATCTTAACCCGCACCGACTTGGCTGAATGGAGCACAAGGTAAAAGCAGGAGTGATTAAATGTCCCACCAGACAACTCTTACATAACTGCTTTCATCATTATTTGCTTAGAAAACTAAACTTATGCTCATTTAAGTCTCTACCTACATTTAGGCTCAGGGGACTCGGACCTTGAGTTAAATGAACTCTTGACCTTCTTCTTTCTTTCCAAGAATTCATTTTCATTTCCGATTAAAATAATATTTACAATATTATTCTCCATCTATGTCTTTTACATTATGTTTTTCTTCCTGCAGTTTGAACATTGTATGAATGCCCTGTCTTACCTTCCGCCTCTGACTCATCATCATCCTCATCATCCTCATCACTGTCCTCTTCACTCTCTTCGTCCTTGGCAATCTTCTGCCTGGCACTCTTAAACACCGACTGAAGGACAATGGAGTCCTCGTATATCTGTGTGCAGGGAGAGAAGTCCGGATGTTATAAAGAGTTTACCTTGAACAGCTTGAATAACGTGTATCAGTTGGAAACAAAGGACAGAAGCGACTGCTGGACCAAGGGTGGACGTGAGTAGGGATAATAAAAGAGGAGAGATTAAGCTTTAATGGAGATAAAAATGAGACTGATGTATAAGAGGCTTATGGAGTGAGTAGCAGTGAATTAATTGATACTTACTCTTCCACTACGGGAAGTGGCAATTCAAATCACAACAATTAAATATGGGCTGTTTCCTCAAAAAACAATGAAATGTCTAGAGGAACTCTATTGGATTGAGTTGGTGTAATGCATTACAAGACTGTAAGCCTTGTAAGCCTCCCTCAGAAAACAACTAAAGAATCGGAACAGAGGAAGAGGATATCGGTGTCAAGGTGCTGGCAAGATGAGTCACTTCGGAGGAGGGCTTCAACAAACATTTATGTTTTCCATGACCGTTGTTTATAGAATAACAGAAAATAGTGAAAATGCATATCATAAGGGTCTAATGGAGAATGAGCCGACTTGTCACTTAATTTATGAGCTCAGGAAACAGTTTCCTAACAGGTTTATGATGTCAAACGCTAGTTTCACATCTTCTTCCATACATTATTATGTTCATTTAGTAAATTATGCTCCAATTTAGAGTTAAATAGACAATAAAGCCGCGTGTGCTTTTGGGTGTGGCTACCTTTTGACTGACAGGTCATTCTCAGTGAGTCTGTCCAGCGCAGCGCACCAAACTCAGATCAAACTGTCAAACTAGGCAGTGCTGATCAAATATGAATCAAGATCCTGATTACTAATACGAGATTGTGTAAGACCAGGCGAGCCGCTATTGTTTCCTGCTACAAACGAGTTAAAATTGCGCAGCCAATGAGCGTAGAGCAACTTGCAGTACATCATGCTGGTTTATGCTGGCTCCGTCTAACTGCTTAACTCAAGGCTTCAAAACAGTTCTCCACAAACCAAGGGGTGACGTCACGATAGGTTCACAACTGATATGACATGCAACAAGGGACGTTATGTGGTACGTATCTCAACCCACGTCCATGGTGATGCCTACAAATGTCTTGTCTTCTCAAACCACAACTCCCAGACAATATTAATAAGAAGAAACATCAGTTCCACATTGGGGAGTTTCTGACCTGGGATCCCTCCAGGTTGAAGGTCTGGGCGTTGTGACAAAGCAGCATGACATCCTTCTCCAGGTCTCCCACACTCCTGTATTTATGGTTTCTCACACGATCCTGTTGACAAAACATCAGCATGGAGCAACAGATTGATTCACGGTCATCCCTGTCAGGTTCTGTGAGCCTTCAATTAATGTGATATTCGAGGCATTGGTCTTCCCTTACTTTAAAATATGTAAATCTTTCTAAATGACACTAGTCATAAAGTTGATTAGGGCTGCAACTAACGATTATTGGTTAATAATATTGATTGTTGGCAAAAGAAAGAGAGAAGAGAAAATGTCATCAGAAGTCATCTTAGTTAACATACCTTGATCTTTTTGAAGTCCACAGGTTTTCTGATTAGCTCATAATATTCTGGGAGCTCCTTCCTGGATGGTAACTGGACAAAGACCTCGCTTAGTTGTCTTCCTGACCTGGTAAAACAAAATAGTTTCACATTGTTATTAAATTTGTAATCTATCCTTTTTAAAAGCAGACCATTACTTAAAACTACAGATAGTTTTGTGTCCAGCTTTTCCTCTGTATGTTTGAAATTCTTAATCCTAAATATTAACGATTTAAAATTTAAACATTCAAATTCTGGGCTGAGAAATATAAAAATATGGGTTTCCTCAACAACAACAGGAAAAGATTTATATACTACTTGACAGTTATAAGGTCAAATACAATTTTTATGGTGTTAACAGGATAGAGCTATTAAAAAGCTGGCTAGGAAATGGTATATAGGCTGCATCTCATTTACACACACACATCCAGATCTGGATCTATCTAGATAGCAGTGGAGTTGCCATGTAATGCACTGGCCTAACCATTGGAAGCAAGTGGGTTTTAAGGTCTTGTTCAAGGACACTTCTACATGGACAGAAGAAGTCAGCAAACCCTGAAATTATTGGGCGGTTCCAGCTCCTGTACCTCAGCTACCCATCGACCGCCAAGAAAATACAGCAAAACAAGCAGAAGATATGTCAAATACATTTGCTGCCTTATATATCCCACCGACTGACAGGTGCTATGATAATAATGAGATAACCAGTGTTATTTACTTCAGCTGTCAGTGGTCATAATGTCATGGCTGATTGGTGTTGTGACAGCCTTAGGGTTGGCCTTATTCTGTTCCTCTGTCTTGGTTGTTTTACCTTCTTTGTTTCAGGAAGTAAGGGGGTGGAGCTGAGATTTCTCCCTGATGCAGCTCACCTGAGCAGGCTGGGCTCAGGAGGCTATAAATCAGACCAGTAAGGCTTTCTCAACTCTCTTCCCCTGGCCTGTTGACTGAACTATTGATTTTTGTTTGTGTTCTGGGTTTTACATTCATACATATACACCTCACCTTTCACTCACACAGACATTGCAGACATACTGATTTGCTGACAGACATATTAAACTGTATTGATTATTTTGTATTTACTTAATTTAATTGCGTTAACTATTCACAGACTGTGTGGTCTCCCTCTTTGTCACACACTTTTGAGCCAGGTTGTGACAGTATGTGTATATATATATATATATATATATATATATATATATATATATATATACACACACTTCATGTTTCCTGTGACTTAAAGTTCAAAACTTTCCTTGGCTCATTAATGGCAATTTGGCCTTTTGGGAGTGTGCTGTTATAATATCTGTTTTACATAAATAATGCAGCACAATTAATAATATAGTGTTTATGCTTGGGGCCAAAGTCAGCGAGGTAAACAACAAGCATCAGAATACATGGAAAGAATTGCAATACAGAAACGAGAGAAGGTGTGGAATAAAATACACAAGCGCAGAGCTGTAACAGGGTCAGTTGTACAATGAAACAAAATATATGAGTTGTTGTGGCTCTTACCTATTCATTTTCCAGAAAAGTATACACTAACGTATAGACTCCTTACATGAATACGTTAAGGAGGGTGTAAGCTCTAAGTTTAGGGTTTCTTTAAGTTTAAGAAACAGATTTTTCATACCTTGTCCCTCCACTTCTCACCTACAAGATTATATTTATAAACTAAACATATTTGGTGCACAATCCATTTCAAGGTTCTTCTGAGACAGTGTGTAGTAGACAGCTGCCAAACCTACAATAACAAGGGTGTGAGGAATCAAAGGGTCCTTGAATCATTATCCTTCTGCAACAGAGACAAAGATTGACATGACTGTCTTTAACTGCAATTTTTACCCAACTAATTTCCCCAGAGTTTAGGAAAATGGGAAAAGAAACAAGTTAGTGAGAAGAAAATGAGCGTTCATGGTTTTTACATTAACCTTGTAAACAGAGTTTGATTATGTCAGTAATACCAATTGCTGCTTATCTCCATTGCTTCCTCCCGCAAAAAGATTTCTATGCTAACACCAAGGTCTGCGACATTGATCCATCTGCTTTAAATGATTTATTCATGATTACTTTATTTCAGTTCTGCCAACATAAGACTTCTCACTGTTGTGTTTTGAGACTTTATTAGCATAAACTTGAGTATTCATTTTGTATATTTAAACTGATCTGTCAGATCTAATGGAGATCATTTAAAGATTTGCTTGCTGTTTATTTGCTCGACTGTTCAGAGCTTCACCCGCCACTCAATAAGAAAAAAGTGGACAAGAACTCCGACCGGAACAATCTTAATCGACGGAAATCCTCATATTTCAGTTTAAACTGGTTTTCACCTGGATTTATGTTCTCAAGCACCCTAAATTTGCTGTTTTTACTACAAATTACTACAAGGATACAGATCATTGCAGTTTACAGTAACCAAGGTTCACTTTCAGTGATGTATGGAGAAAAATGGGGAGATGTGTGCTGATTACACTCGAGACTTACAGCTGAAACCAAAATTCAACTACAGTGTTTAAAAATAGCAAAATAGTACTTTCCTGGATTTATCTTTAAACAATAAAACTTAATAATGAGCCTCAATCCAACAAATGACTAAATTTAGAGCAGCAGAGTACCTCAGCTTGATTTCATGGCTGCTGATCTCAGATGACAATATTGTATACATATACTGTATGATATATTGTATGATCACACCCCTGCGGTGCCTCTGAGTTCTGAATGTTCTATGAGCTTATATCCACTGTGTTAACTGTGTTGGAACCACAAAGGTGGATGGTATGTTCAAAACGGGTTTTTACATCTTTGATGTATGAAGTGCAATGCCTCTCAGCCCAGCATTATGGCAATGTGGACCCCTGGGAACAGACCCAATTGACTTCTGCGAAAGACCCTGGAATGAATGGAAATTGTGACCACGAAGGCTTCGAACGAGGGGGATTTGTGACAACCAGTGGTGATGTGTGTGTGTGAGAGACATACTGTATTTGAACAGTGATCTCTGTGTTGTGTTTATAAGAGGTCTCTACAGGCTTACACCTTAATCTGATTAATGGAGGAAATATACCCTAGACTGTTGCCTGGGAGATATGAGTTTATTAAGGCTTGCACTCATGTTTGGAGGTTTACTTTGTTTTCCGGAGAAACAGCATTGCAACTTAGGAATCCTTAAATTCTGGAGTGGAAATTCCTAATTCCGTCCCAGTCTAGTGGAGTGAGCGCCAGAGCTATGATTGAGATGCTCTGGGATGAACAACCATCAACTGGGAGAGGAAAGAATTTGACTTCTGGAAAGGCAGGTAGCAGTTTCCTGGAAAAAGCTCTGACACAGTGCATATTTGAGTAATGGGAACACAAATGCACATGTTCTTTCATGCACGGGTGAATATTACAGACAGACATACACATACTAGATAATTATGCACATGGGCAAAGAAGAAAATTCAACACAACAGAACCGACCACAGACAGACACACACCCACACACTAACTCTCAGGACTGTAGGACTGAAGAATACATGTTTATTACACTGTACTGTTCCTAAGACATGACCTCATGTCTGTTTTTACCCTGCTGACCAGGGAAAAATCGGTACTTTCCATTGTATAATCACAAAGCACACTCTCACAAACAGAAGAAAAATGTGCACTCAAAAAGTTTTTAGAGGTGTACCATAAAGCACAGAATGGGCCCTCATGAGAGTGGATATAAAACTTTTAAACCCCATACAGATCGACAAAGTATCGATTTAAATATGTTCCAATTAAACTTTTTCTTGTTTCTCAAGTCAGTTCATATACTGACATGAAGGGACACGGGATAACACTAGTCTAGAATAGTGTTGCACGGTGCACCGATACTTCAAAAGTATCGCGATTCTCGGAAATTAAAAAAGCCACGATTCCTAAATTTAATAGTATCAATACTTTTAAGAATGACCGCGTTCCAGATTTGTAAGAGACGTATTTCATGTTGGTGTGTGCAACGCATGCTTCCAGTGTCTCCCTATGGACGTCTGTGTTTTTTCTCCTCACGCACGCAGCAAAGAAGCTGCAGCTGTCATGTGACAAACACTGTAACGAGATCGCTGCAAGTGATCTGTGGCCACCGGTCCACGACTGGTAGAAAAAGATGACGCGAGGAGTGTAATATGGAAGTACTACCTTGCTGACAGTGAGGGCAAAGCTACCGATAAGTCGAGACCTGTTTGTCGTCAGTGCTAATGTAACAAACGAATGTAAACAAAGGGAGCCAACACCTCGAACCTGGCGAAACACTTGGCCGACAAGCACGCCGAGTTGTACAAGGAGTTTAAAGACCGACAGGTTAGTATGTGAAAGATAACACGACCACGCTCATGCCCTTAAATCAAGTGAGTAGGCTATGGTTATTTTGTGAGAAGTCACTATTTTGCACCACCGTAGTTTGACGAGGCTATCTAGAGAAATAGTAGGCTAACTATGGGCATTATCCTCATGGCCAACCAGCCTGCCTACGGCTAATTCAACATCTCTGAAAACGCAAATTTCACAGATAACGTTAATAATTTGCAAGCTGCTAAAATAAAGCACACAAAACATCAGTTAAAATGATCTATAGGCTATATGATTATAATCAGAGCATGTGCATGTTTGTCAGTGATTTATTTATATTAGGTTATTGCAGCATTTAAAGAGCACAGACCTACGCAAAGGAGGTGTATTTGTGAAACACCTTGTAAGAAATTATGGACTAAAATATAAAGTTAACCATCAAAGAAATCAGACGTTTAAGTACAGGATACATTAGCCTATATTAATCCATATATCACAGCTTAAATAACATTAGGTTAACTCATTATTTCCTATTATTAATTATGGTAATGTTATGGTTAAGTAAATGTTAGCAGTTATCACTATAACCACTGCATATAGAGATGCTAAGTTAGTCACAAGTTATTGTTACAATCACACATAAACTATTTAGGTCCTCTGTTATGACAAATTTATCACCATCATATTTTAAATATTTCCATTTTCTTCTGCTACAGAAAAGTATCGAAAAAGTATCGAAATCGCAATTCTTGACTTGGTATCGGTATCGAAACAATAATTTTGGTATTGTGACAACACTAGTCTAGAACTGTAAAAACAATGGTTGGTCTCATTAAGCACAACTGGCAGTAATTGGTAGCAATAGCACCTCCCCTTGGGTAGTCTCTACACTATCTTCTGCTGTCTGTAAATGAATCTGGTGTTTGAGTTAATTACAGTTAGTGGTCACCCATCAAAGAGATTAAGGTAGTCTGTGTTAGTTATTCAGTATCAGGTTTTGTGAAGAAAGACCATTAGACTGCGGAGGTTAGAGAGAAGTAATAGGTTATACGTCAAAGGGCTCTTTGGGGTAGCTAAATAAACCCGGCAGGAATTACTTGTGTGCTTATGATTTAAGTCATCAAACTCTTACAATCACAAGAAATACATCATTTATTAAAAATCTCAAGCACATCTCAAAACGCATGACAGGAAACGTAGTACCAAGTTAGTAAGAGAGCAGAGGGGTCATAGGTCAAGTTCTTGGTCAATCCTTTGTTAGCATGCTGCTGTGAAGGTAAACATGAGGATTTCATGGAGATCTAAAACAGTAAAATAGATTAAATGGTGAAAAGGCTTGTGGCTTTTACTTAATATTTTTATTCCAATGTCTTTATTGTCGGAGCTGATAACACCAGAGCCTAGAGCCAGATAATTATATTTTCAAGATATAACCGGTTCTACAGTTTGTCCTCAACACATTACAGTGCTATACACAGGTTTACAAGTGAGGTGCTACTGCATTAATGGCTAAAGTAGGTGTTACCTCTCACTTGCCATGTGGCGAAAGAAGCATGTCACCGGGACAACAGTAATATTTTTAGTCCTTCATCAATGTCAGCACAGTATGCGTTCAGAAGCATGTAGCTCCTCACAGCCCAATGTATCAGTGTAATTAGACTGCAAGAAGTCCTTAGATTTGACACTTTGAAACAAGATGTTGAGGTTGCCCTTACTTGTATCAAGCCATTATTCTTCTGTTGCAGAGAGCAGTATTGTTTGATATCAAAATGTTCAGTCAGATTGACAATTGAAGCACAGTTGACGGCCTCCCTATGTAGACAGTACACTCTCTGTAATCGGAGATCCAGTGTCCTCTAGTGTCCTTCAACACCAGATGGTGGGGATGACGCCAAAAATAAACTCATTTGCAAGTTTATTAGGTTTGTTCAGCAAACAAAACTATTGCAGTCTATTACAGTTAGCTGTAAACCATTCCTTCATATATACATATATATGTGTGTATTTAAGAAGCCTGTAGTTAGTGGTGCTGTGGAACTGTACTTAATTATACTAAGAAGTGTCTATAATATTTACACCACCCTCACTGATATAGAAGGGGTGGACAACAGCATTCTGAATAGTTCGGTGTGGTGCCCATTGACAATTTTTCCCCCGGTTGAATGCAATTAAAAATAAAGACGCCATCTTCCCGGCAAGATTCAGAAGAGTAACTGCTCAATGGAAAATGAGCTATAAATATAGCGTCAGGTGTGGATGAGATTTCTTTTAGGTCGACCAACAGAAACTTTTAATTGCCCTAAAAACATAATTTTTTTCTTAGTGACCACTAACACAACTTCTGTGTTGACAAAAAATTATATTGGCAAGACCAGTGTGTCAATTGCTAAGGTAAAGTAAAGATTATTAAATAAAAAATTACCCCAACTTGCAAAAAGATTTAAGCACAGTAAAGTGAAGTGGCAGTTCAGTCTGACTGAACCCATATGTAAATAATTCTCCTTACCCATCTCTGTAGTTGATGACCGTATCGATGATGGTGTTCATTTGCTTGGTGAGTTTGGGGGGATTCGGGGAGAGCTTCTCAGCTGGTGGACGTCCACGTTTCTTCTTGGCCTTGGACCCCCCGTCATCTCTGCTTGATGAGTCCTTGTCCTGACGTCTCTTGCGTTTGCGTTTTTTCAGACGGATCTCCTCCTCCATCTCTTCTAGGTTTCCATCCTCAATGGCCTTGAGTTGAAAAGCACCAGAGACAGGGTTAATCCTCAATAACTTCAACTTGTCCATTCATTGTAGGATCATTGTCAAGAAGTGCACAATTTTTACAAACCATCTCTGTCATCAGATATATCCCTAGTCAACACAACAACAAATGACGTAACAGTCGTAAGTACTTTCCCTGACTGCAGTATTTTAAACTCTGGCTGTCAAGCTCCGTAACATAACTTAAACCTCTTCAGCAGGTCTCTGCATATTTTTCTTCTTTTAATTCGAGCCACTCTGAACTACAGCTAACACTTCCAACATACTGTCAACCGGTCACAATGTTTCTTTCTGTTCTATTCTTGTTTCCCTGAAACACCTGAGCCACAGTCAATAAAATGGATCTGCCAGGCCTGACATGTCTCTCCAGGGGAGTGTGTCACAATATATTTGGTGTGGGTGACTGGGTGCCATTAGCATCAGGCTGAGCTAACTTTGGCATTAAATCCAGTCATAGATAAGGCCCGATCTGCTTACCATTGATGACGGTAATCCTGTTTGAGAAAGGTTTCTAAAAACTTTTTAGCTTTTAAACAAAATTAAACTATATATTGAAACTTATTTTTAGAGATATGTGTCTTCAGCAGAAACAAATGAGCTTAGGACTGAGAGCCCCAGACAGCGCAGGGAAGTTGGAAAGTATTGATAGACAGAGTAATACATTGATTTTGGTCTTTTGAATGAAAAAAGAATAACAAGCTACTTCTTTTAAATAGAAAAGAAAATGTTTCAGACAAAAGAAATCAAACTGCCGCTTAATGGTCTAATTAAGAACAATGTAAAATTACATATTAGACTGTAATTTTCACTGACTCCAACTGGTGTGAAGCCCAGAGAAGTTAATTATCCAAACTGAGTTCATGCATATCAAATCAGTCAGTATATTATACAAGATTACTATAATTAACTACAGCGGTACTGAGTGAAGAAGTGGAAAAGAAACAAACTTTTCCAAAAGTTTTGCTGCCACTGTGTGTACTATTCATGTTGGCCCTTTAACATATAATTAGATTGCAGTTTTAAAAAATACATACTACATTTTTAGCCATTTTAAAGTTTTACAGAAGTTATATTTATCACCATATGCTCTTACATGTTTGAGACAAAATTAAATATCATAGAATGATTTACCCGCAACCACTGTTTTTCGGTCAGCGCGTCACTGTAGTCCACATCCCGACGACAGCGCGATCCTCGGCCAAACATCTTTTCTTCCTCCTCTTCGTATGTGAGCCGTTCTACCTCAGCGTCGTCTTTGATGATCCAAGAAGGCAACTCGTCCTCCTCCATTAGACGAGGCTTACGCTTTGGGTTCCTGGCGTGCTCCCGACGTCTGTCCATGTCCATGCGCTACAGAGAGGTAAGATAATGATCAGGTAAATATACATGATTAGGCCATATTGTGTTTTAATTACATCCCCACATTTCTGTGTTTACTTTCTTTCATTTACTTTGTCATATAAGACAAATGTACTCATATTGGTGGAGTAACAAGCTAGATGCCTAGGTCATTACTGTGACAGAGAACTGGGATTACAGTGAGCAAAGGGTTTGCAGTTGAGAGGGATTAGTTAAATGTGTGTTACTAAAAAGGAAACTACTGAACCAAGCTAACCAGTTTCAGATCAGTTTTTGCAGTCTCAGTAACCTCTGTTGCCTCAACATGTTCCTTATTTTTGAGATGGCACATGTCAGCTTGGGTGTAGGCTCCTAAGCTTTGCTGTAACCTCTTAATGCGCAACAGAAAACGCACCTTTGGACAAACCCCTTTAAGAAGTAACCCAATTTGTGTCAACCATATTCTATGGCTTGCTTCCAGATGCTTATGAATATTTAATATCCAGTCACCATGGTAATAAGCCATTACAAGCTGGATGAAACACGAATGATGAGGCAACACCACTAGGAACCCGTGAAGCTTGAGGTTGTTTAGTGTTTAAGTTTTTTTAAAAACAAGCACTTGATTTGCAACCTCAGCTGGGGTTTACTAGCATCTGAGTCAAGAGAGAACGAACAACTGTACTAACATTTCAAACACAGATGTTGTTGATGTCACAAACAGAGTTGTGTAGAACTGTAAAACTGTCAAATGATGGACTGTGAATGACATGATGGCAGTGAGTCCTGTATCCATGACAATTCAATAATTTACTATTCAAGAAGACATGTCTGTCTAGGGATAGTTGTTGCCAAGTCTGAAGGTGCCTGAACAAATGATGACATTTAACTAAACATGATAGATAACCTACAATTATTTTGGGGTAGATGTAAGATAACCAGCTGTTGGCTTCCCCTCTTTTGGAAAATTAAAACTTTTAACAGATTTACTCTAAAAATGTGTCTTACCATGAAGAGCTCAAATTCATCTTCATTGCGGGCTATCATCTGGTTGAGGGTTTCATCATCGGGTACTTCATCTTCTTCCTAGAGTTACATATGGAAATACATCAAAAGACAGTCTCCTGAAGACATTTGAGTCTCAGTTGGAACTGTTTCAGCAAAATCGAAGCCACACATGCTCAGTTCAAAATCAGTAAAGTACAGATTTTATCAAACACCAATTAAATAGCTGAGATTTCATTACATAACCATGTAATATTATATGTGAAGGATGGTTAACTCGCTGATCATATCTAAGGAGCTGTCTCTGGTGGGCCTGCAGTAATTCAATCAAAACCACCATGCATAATTTAACTAGAGGGTAAAAAATCAATTTAGGGTCTCCTACATTCATTGTATAAAAATGCCTGATCAAGCATCTTATTCCTGAGATGCTTTTACTTCCAAGATAAATAATAAAATATATGAAATGAACATAAGTTACAAACTGAAACTGTACCTCATTCTGCTCCTCATGCTCTAAAATGGCCTGGAGGAAGGCACGGCGCTCATGGCTCGAGGACTTCTGGTCGAACATGCCTGCTTGGATGACTTTCTGATCCACGTTGAGTTTGTATTTGGCAGCTGCCAAGATTTTCTCCTCCACACTGTTGACAGTACAGAGACGAAGCACACGCACCTCATTCTGCTGACCGATGCGGTGAGCCCGGTCCTGAGCCTGAAGGTCCTGGAATCAGCAGATAAATGAACAATTCGTCATCATCATTTCAGTTGCCTCAATATAAAAGAGGAAATTAATTAAAATCTTTGGAGAGCCAATGTCAGAATAACTGTCTACTGCGGATACTCAGTTTCTAACGATGTCAGCATAGTCTTTGGGCTTTATTTTTAAATAAAGCAATTTAGCCATTATTCTTTGTCAGTAAATCAAAGCAAACATAAAGCTCTGTATCACACACTCCTGTCGCCTGTTTGAGCACTGACACACCAAGCTGATATCAAAGGATGACACACTGCATCAACACACATCTTCTGTTAACACATACAGGTACATTATGCACCTGCGTGAGAAGAAATATCAAGTCTGTAATTTGTGTTCCTGATCTTACAACATGAAAAGACAAACAAAACAAACCACTATTACTATTACACTACTGTGAATCTGTCTAGTCAAACACTATGAAATATCTGCTAAAGAGTTGCATTAGACAAAGTCAAGTTTAGCTTTTCTTTTTTTTTCTTTTCATTGCGTTGTATAGGTGTGGTTAGTTTTGTTTGTGGAAAAAGGGGGAGGCGAAAACTAAAAATTACTGTATCATACTATTTGTATGAAATAAATACTTTTCTAATGCTGAAAGGTTCTAACAATGGACAAGACCTCAAGAACATATAGAACATATATATACCAATCAGCCATAACATTATGACCACCTGGGCACCCATATTATGCAGCCCCATAACTGTGATGCATTGTGTGTTCTGACATTGTTCTATCAGAACCAGTATTGTTTTTCAGCAGTTTGCGCTACAGTAGCTCGTCTGTTGGCCAGCCTTCACTCCCTACGTGAGCCTTGTTATGGTCTCCGGTTCACCGCTTTTCCTTCCTTGGACCACATTTGATAGGTACTGACCACTGCAGACTGGGAACACCCCACAAGAGCTGCAGTTCTGACCCAGTCGTCTAGCCATCACAATGTGGCCCTCGTCAAAGTCGCTCAAATCCTCAAGCTGCCCATTTTTCCTGCTTCTAACACATCAACTTGAGGACAAAATGTTCACTTGCTGCCTGATATAACCCACCCACTGACAGGAGCCATGACAACCATGATATTCCTGTCAGTGATCATAATGTTATGACTGATTGGTGTATATATATATATATATGGACGGTATACATAACATATATATCGACGTACCTGGTGTGGGTTCCAGTCACTGTCGAAGATGACAACAGTGTCAGCTGCCTGCAGGTTGAGGCCGAGGCCCCCGGCTCTGGTACTGAGAAGGAAGATGAAGTACTGAGACCCTTCCTCATTAAATTTCTTCAGCAGTGTCGCTCGGTCCTCAGACTTGGTGGTTCCTGAAACACCAAAAACTTCATCATCATTTTGAAATGCTGAGCCTATCAAGTTCACTTTGAAAAGTCTGCGTGAACTTCCTGTTCTTCTGGTCCAAAGCACATTGTTGTCAGGAAAGTAAAAATGTCACCTGTATACTGTGGCTCATCTCTGACCAATTAAACTGTTTAAAAGGTGTCTGAAAAGGGCATGTAGTGACTCTAATTAAGCAGGGTTCAAAATGTGATAAAACCATTCAACGGCCAGTTTATATGTCTGATTGCCTGATTAAATTATGCTAACGAAGAAGGTTCACAGTCCACAGCTGCATATTTGAGTCTCTTAATTTGTGTCTGAAATACGGTGTGCATAAAGGAGGATTATCAAAATGATTAACTGATTGCTTTCTTTCATTTCTTTCTTTGGTTGTAGACCAAAATACCAATCACATGAATGAGTTGACTTGAAACTTTAAGTAGAATAACTAAAACAGTTTGTTTGACTTTCATTTTTATAAGCGTCTCTCAAAATCATCATTACTCCCCAAAAAACACAATTCTTTCTTTCTTAAAGTTTATTTGGTACAGGACCACTTTGCTTAGAACATACAGGATTTATTTATTTTTTTACTGGCCACACTTTGCTCTTTTTATTTGTCATGTTTGCAATTCCATGCTATGTGTTTTCACTACACATCAGCCTTATCAGTCGCTCACATACAGCAGCCAGTGAGAGACAAATTTGGTTTCACTTTGCACCTTCTATTCTGTTTCATAAAACAGCCATAAAATAACATCTAAAATCAATAACATCTTCTCAGTGAACTCAGGTTTTTGTTGCCAGACCTAGTGGATAACAGAATTACCTTTTGTTTGAGATGCTGAGTGTGGGTATCATGCTGAGTGAATGTGATGGGAATTCTCTGACACCTCAGTGTGACAGATTATTCTTTTTTTTAGTATGAGTGAGTAAATCTTTTTAATACACAAATACACAAAGGGATAAAGGGATTATAAGAGCTCAGAATCTGACTTAATCTTAGATTATGATCATGTGTCTTGTTGCAGGGACTAGTTGGTAAAAAGTCATATTTCTTTATATACTATATTATGGGTACCATACTTATAATGCAAATACTGAAGATCCTGGTTCAAAACTATACAATTTGAAATAGTTTTTGAGCTTTTTCCTTTACAAATGATATTTGGCTAAGTATAAACACCAGACTGCAATGAACATTTGGAGCCACATTTAAATTAGGCTGATATGATCAGCCGCTGGCTAAAAATGAGAAGCTGCTACCTAAATGTTCTCTGTGTTTTCAGCATGGACACGGAGAGTCAGACAGCCACAGCTCACAGCTGGTTAGCTTGGGTAGCTTTGACTACAGGCAGCTGAGCTGAGAGACAGTCAGTCATTCTGGTCGGTGTTACCTTCTGTGTCACTAGCAGAATATAGGCATTTAGTTACACTTTAAGATGTAAACATCTGTATATTTAATAAGCACAGAATTTTTCAACAGTGTGAGTTTACCGTCAAGGCGCAGATATTGAAAGTTGCGGTAGCTAAAGTAGTCCTCCATGATTGTCATGAGTGAGGTCATTTGACAGAAGAGCAGGACTCTGTGGTTGGTTGCCTGTAGCTTTGGCAGGATGCGATCTAGGAGCTCAAACTTCCCAGAAGCTCGATACAGATCATGCCTGGGTGGGAGTAATCAGGCAAAACATGTAATATAAGTAATCAATACCCATATATTTATTATTAAAATATCTTTAGCATCAAGTTTGACAGCGGTTAGCAGTCTGGCTGTTAATGCCTTGATGCTATGTTGTCACACGTGCAAAAATGGAATTGCCCTTTAACAACATAGTGTACTGTTTTGTTTTTGTGTGTCAAGTGTAACCCTTTTTGTATTATTGTATATTGTATTGTAACAGCTCTGTTAACTATAAGTGCTTCTTCATTAGTGCAGGCTGGTGTATAAACGGATTATGAAGGATAATATAGTAAAACACAGTTGATTTTTGTCCAACTTACCCACTGATGATGCCATTTGGATAGCCCAAGTGCTCAGCAAAAGATTCCTGTAACAGGGAACATTTAGTGGTTTCAGAGATGATCTCTTTCTCTGAGCAATCTTAAAATGAAGTTAGTGATGTTTTGTTAATGCAGACTGCTTATCAGTTTCTTCTTAAATTGAATCAGCATGTTTACTAAAGTTACCTCATGCAGGACTAGTTTTAAAGTTATAACCCTGCAGACAGTCCTTCACTTTAAAAGAGTGATGTCAGATTGTAGTTGTTGTGTTATTCAATCTTAAATCATTAATAATGTGAGGCACCATCCCAGATGTTACTGGAAGAGTGAAAAGTTTAGAGATTTGGGTTAAATAATAAAAAAAATGGAATTATACAAGTTTTGTAAGGGACGCGTCAACACATTGAAAATTAAACCTATTTCATCAGTCATGTCAGTATTCACAAGCTTGTAAAAGTCAGAATCAGTGATGGTGGACTAGCAGCACTCACCTCAATGTGCTGGAACATGTATGGATGGTTGCAGATCTTCTTCAGCTGCATGATGGTGTTCATCAGGGTCTTTGCTCCTCCTTTGCCCTGGGAAAAATTTATAACATAGATAAAAGAAATTACTTGTCTTGTCTTGATGTGATGTGATTTTTAACCTGCAATAGCTTGATTTTGGCCATTTCAGGGCAGCAGGAACAACTTGTGAACATTTACATATCAGTTAATTAGGTCAATATAGCAAACTGTGGGTTATTTACACATCCTGCACTACTCAAACTGCGTCTGTTTGCTGTTTGGTGCTCGGCAGGTAGTGTACGGTAGGTTTTCTAAAGCTTTTTGTCTGAAAAACAGCTGCGGCTGAAAATGGCACACAAAATGAAGCAGTGAGAATTAATAATAGCAGTAAGGTTGAGCTAAACAATGAGCAAAACTCTGTATAAAGTTCTGGAAAGCTGAGGTGAGCTGCAGATTCAGGTGATAATTCTCTGTAGGTACATCACAATGAGTGACTGAAGCTAAAAGCCAAGATGTTGCTTTAGCAGTTGAATAAGATTATTTTAGCAAACACAATATCTCGTTTATCACACATACGTTTTTTTAATTGTAACTCCAATTATACAACAAAACTCAGTGATCATCTGATGTCAACCAGCAGGAGACTGTAAATATCACTGTGCTCTAAGCTATACAGCTTAGTTTGTCAGCAAGCTGATAAAACACAGCACAGACATACAGTGAAGCCACAGGGGTCTTGGTATACTTACCTTCTTGTCTTTCTCAGAGCCATCAGTGAGGAGGATGCCTTTCTGCATGTGGCGGTACAGAACCTTCTGTATAGCAGACATGTCGCATTTTATGACATACTCCACCTAAGTGAATGACAATGAGGACAATTCATCAGTTATACATGATGTCTGTTCATTGGCGAAGCTGTTGGAGCGGACACCACCTTCTTAATACTCTCCCTATTCTTGACACTATGAGTGAAAAAAAGTTAATGTCAGAAAAATACATATTATTATATGCGCATTATGTACACACTTTACATACCTTGCCTTTTTATACATACAACAAAAAATCTCTTAAGGTGAAGTTCAATCGATGCACAGAGTTTGTACATGTTTCAGGGGTATATACGTAACGTACGGCTGTCCGTGGTGGTGAACATGAAGCTGAATAGTTTTTTAAATAACTTTGCATATTTAAATGTCTGTAAGCCATGTTATATATTAAAAATAGATACACCACAAAGCGTTCACTGGTGTTAACCATAAGAAGCAATTTTTTTTATACCTCGGAATTGTTTAGTATTAAATTGAAGCTTAATTTGCACTAAAAAGTAGACACCCATTTATAAATCATATTAAGTCAGTATAAGAAAGTAAACTTTGATTGATTTACTGGGAACCCTGTTAAGCTCATGTTAAACATAATTTATATTAGGCACTGAGAAAGATGTCAATGTGAACTGGAAGATCAATTGTTGAATTAAACTGTGTTATTTTTATTTTCTTATTCACAACATTATTACTAATTTTACATCACTTAACAAATAACATCAGTGTCCATGCTGAAAACATAAAGTTCAACAATAAAAACTTAATAATAATAATTAATAAAACATGAAGTTCTTGGTTCCCAGGGCTTGTCAATATGCTCTTAGCCTCCTACAAGTGAATAGGAGCCACCCATGAATCTGAAGATCATTTTCATCCACATTAATACTTATAACTGGATACAAGGCTACAGCTGATGATAATTGCTGAAGTAGTAGTGTTGAAGACTGTGCCAAATTGTGTCTGTGTGTACTGAGCCAAAATACCCATGCACTTGACTCTGCAGAAGAATAACCACACCATTTGGAATGATCTTCAATAACTACGTGCTTCATTATACTTAACATACAAAAAACATGCTCCTAATGATAACTGTTTTATATTTCACAAAGTGTACTTTACTGTCACTGCAAACCCTGCAATAAATATAATCATGCTACATCAAATCAAAGTAGAAATATTTAGCTTCAATCTCACCTTCTCTGGCAGCTGAGACTCCACCTCTTTCTTCAGTCTGCGAAGCAGGAAGGGGCGGAGCACCTTGTGCAAACGCCGAATAATCAGGATGGTCTCCTCCTCATTTAGGTCGACCTAAACAAGTCAGAGAGTAAATATAATAATATACCACCTAATGTTGTGTTAAACATACTGGGCAGCAGTATAAACACAACGGTGACAAGGATGTGACCCTCTTATGTATCCTTGGAACTGCAGTGTAACCTGATATCAAAATATACTGTGTGACCAAGAAAAGCATTAAACATGTTTGTGTATGTTGTGTGTTGCGACTTCTCCGTGTGGATGTCCACGATAAGCCAACTGGAGTAGGGTTGCGACAAAAGTATACATTTGTTAACCTCTGATGCGAGCTGACCTTTGTAGGCACAACCGATTGCCGTGATTTTAGCAGACGCTTGTTTTTCCCCTGTAATGTGCCTTAAGACCTCAGAACACACACAATGCGTTTGTGTGATTAAAACTGAATGTATACAAAGCTGTTGTTTGTTTACAAGACAAGCACGGGACCTTTAATATGAATCCAATGGCTAAAATGAAAGCCATAGGAACAACAATGGAGAAATATAAATTAATGATTAACTTTCATTATCTTTTTTTAATGCTGTTTGGTGCTCAGAAAATAAATGTTTATTTTTATTTGTATTTACCTTAAAAAGTAACCTGACAGTTTGAGCCCAACCTAAAACAAACTCAGTTGAACCAGCAGGTTAAAGGTTTGTTTCAACTCAACTTGTAGAGACTGGCTGGCTGAAGCAGCTGTTTCTTCCATTACTATGAGTTATGGTTTGGAAACACAAGCATTTGCGATATAATTCGCGATTAGTGTGGGATTGATTATTTTTGCATTACAAATGTCATTTTCATTGAAAAAAAAAATCATGATGATGTGATTTTTTTGGGGTCGTTATAGAACCGGTTTCTTACATCTGGAGAATAAGATTTGTAGGCCAGGGCATCTCTTATGCCTTGACATAACAATTGTAAAATCTCACACTTTACGACAGTTCCTTTGGATTTCATACCTTTTCAGTAGAAATGACAGGCATGATTACTGTGAAGGGATGAAAAGATCTCTGGAAACAGAGATTTAAAGAGACCTTTTATCAGCTTTAAGAAGATGTACAATATATCCATGTTTAGCCAAAAATAGGCTCCAGTATATGTTAAAATCTACAACTCATCTTAATTTTTTTTTTTTTTTAAAGTTATTAATTAAAAAAGTTCAGGTTTAGAAGTGTATTTAGAAAGTTCTTAGATTTTAATGCATGTTATGGCACTGCACTGATTCCCTCCGTGAGTACTCCGAGGAGGTAAGAAGATAACTTTTAACAGCCACAAGCTGAATTTTTTTATCCAACAGAGTTGGTCTCTGCTCATTAATCAAATTAAAACAACTTAGAAGATAAAAATGATTGGATGAATCTGTTCACCACTCTACCTGCGTAGCCTTGGATGCTTTGTTCTTACTGTGATTCTGGTACTTAAGATAAACACATATCCAATACCTTAAAAACGAATTTAAAAAACAACTTGATCTACTGTATGAGCCATATCCAACAAAAGGCGTTGAGATTACACCAAAATGAATCATAGACTTAAGAATCCAGGCCATTTCTCCTCGTACTTACCCTCTCTCCTGTCATAGCAAATGGGGCGTTGAACCACTGCTCGAAGGTGCTGCAGCTCTTGAAGATGGTGGGCAGGAGGAAGTTGAGAAGGGCCCACAGCTCGGGCAGCTTATTCTGCAGTGGTGTACCGGTGAGAAGGAGGCGGCGGGGAGCAACATAGTGGGTGTTCAACACCTGGGTCAGCTTACAGTGGTGGTTCTTCATGCGGTGACCCTCGTCCACAATCATGTACTTCCAACGAATCTGTATGTGGAAAAAATACTTATGGGACCCTTTGCAATAATGAAAAACACAAAAACACCATGTCCAAATTTGCATTTGAAACATTCGTGATCACAATGGAGCTCAGGAGTGACTGCAGAGAAGAACAATTCCTACTCTGACTTCCCTTAGGGCACACAACACTACTGCATACAAATGAGAAGTTTCTTATTCCCTCTCCTCATTTCATATGCATACAATAATTGTGCAGACAGTGATGTGAACAAATCAACATGCACCCCTTTACTAAAATAGCACACCTTTTGCTCACCCTGTGAGTATTTTGTTATTTCAGCACCTGGCCACCAAATGTTGGCCTTAACACTTCAAGCCATGGAGTGAACAAGGTGCTGGATTCAAGGGGATTCTGGTCGATGCTTATGCAACTGATTTTTGCAGTTCCTGCAGAGCATGCAAACCTCCTGCTCTATCTCTTGTAAATGGTAAAGCAGGTACCTAAATACATTAACAGTCCTACTATGGACATAGTATAGTCAGTAAAAATCCATATCTGAGAAACAAACACATTTGGTGAGAACATTTAAGTCACGTATACACAGGAAGAATTTTTGAAGAATCTGAGAGAGCAGTTACACTTTTGTTTCAAACAATTCAGTTGTCTATGTTGGCTATGGAACAGCTCACTTTTCACTTGTGATTTATGCGTGCCAATGCGACCTAAAGAGTCTTTAAGGCTTCAAGTCCTTTTTATTTCATTTTTTGCATGTAATTACAGTTATAATTTATTGGACTGAATTAACAGCTCCCACAGCGTCTGATAACTGCTGAGTGTGGGTTGGTGAGTTAAGAGCCTCATGTCTGAAGCAAAACGTATTGAGCGATCTTATTATTTAATTTTCCAGCCTGCCTCACAACTCCCTCAAGTGTTTCCCATACATGGTGGCCCGCCATATTATCAACATTGATTGATTTTGACTTTCTATTTTTTTTACAATTTAAAATAAGTGAAATTATATTTTAATGTAGAGCTGCGCACAGCACATTGATTCGTTCAGCCCCACACTGCTCGCTCTCTCTCTCTCTCTCTCTCTCTCTTAAACATATTGACAACCGACTTGTCTGTGAATAGGCCCTCCTCTCTGTGCACAATGAATGAATCAAAACGTGAGGAAAGATTGCTGCTGGCTTTTCCTTGCAGAGAAGATGGCCGGCCAAACTCCTGAAGAGAATCAATTGGGAGTTCATGAATGGTTAGTATCGTGAACATCTCTGCACATATTTGTCCAAAACTGATGCATTCAAGTTAACTCTGATAAGTTAATCTATTTACGTACTTAACACAATGCTGTAAATCTCGGAGATCCAATGCTTAAAATAAGTTATTAGCAAGCCTAGCTAGTAAGGATAGATATATATTGTACACTGTGAAGCAAGCTGTATATTTGGTTCAGTTATTTATTTGTAACAAAGTACTTGGCAATTTAAATATTTGTAATGGACTGTCTTATATACAGTATTATTTCATAATTACTTTTTAAATAGCCTGGGTGGGGATGCACAGTAGCTCAACTGGTAGAGTACGTGCCACATGTGACACATTGACCCGAGTCTAAAACAAAGCACGAGCGTGCCTCCTTCCATGTGCAGTTTTCCACGGTCAGCTACCACCACAAATACAACCTAACTCTGTGGGAAACACTGCACTTAGTATGCATGTACCTGTGCCCAAACACACAGCACACCAGGTTGTGTGTGTAAGTGAAGTACTGAAACTGTCTGCAGCAGAGACTGTGTATATAAATACACTGTGGATTCAATAATAAAGCTTATAGCGTTGAAACTTTATGACATATATAGCAATATAATTTAATCAGCTAAATCATTTTCTCCAAACTAAGCTCAGTGTCGTGTGAGGTTGCTGACCTGTTAACATTTTGTTGAACAGTAACTAGAACTCTTGACCCTGTATTTGCTGACCACACATTAAATAAGACACTGAGGTATGGATGATGAAAGATGCCCTCTAACTAAGAAAGGACTAAACTGTGGCTCTATTTTTTCAGTGCTTTACAAACTTGTGTTAAAACTGAGTCTAATTTATCTTTTCGATCGGATACAAGGAACGCAACTAACACAGCGTTCTATCATCAACAGAGTATTACAAACATCAGACTTTCCTTGTGACACTCTGAAGCTGTGTATCAATTTATTACAAGTAGGACTACTACTGCAGTGCTCTGTTCTCAAAGTCAATATATCAATTACGGCTCATACAGAGTGGTGCTGCTGCAGCCATATTTTAAATTGGAAGAAAAGATCACGTTTGTTTTGAAGTTCAGCTCTGGTGTCAAGTTTACCTATGTGAGTCTAATGATCCTACTACTTGTCTAGAAAACTAATAATGGACTTCCCAATTATAATGTCATGTGCTTCTGTATGGCTGTATAGATGTTCCCTGTAGAGCCCCTAAGATCCACAGACTCCTTGCTCACTGTATCAATAATGAAGCTCCTCTTGCAGTTTTTAGACCCAAATGAACTGAATCTGGATCTGAGGAGTTCCTGCTGTAACTCACAATTTTTAGTTCTGCCTTTACCTGGAGTCTGTTATTACTATCGCCTCAAATTCAGCAGTAAAGGCAGAGCCTTTTGGTCATTGAATGTTACTTTCAAACTCTGGCACAGTTATTGAACTACTGATTGGTAAAGTTGTTAGTGAATAAAAGAGTGTGTCTATGTGTTTATGAAGGACAAAATGGCAATAGAGTGCAAGTGAGAAAGTGAATTATACAGAGAGGACAACAAAGCTTTGCTCTCCTTCACCTTGGCCAGTATTTGCTTGTCCTTGATGATATATTCATAGGTGGTCAGCAAGACATTGAACTTTCCACTGCGGAGTTGAGGGACAAACCCACGGCGCAAAGCAGGGGTGCCCTTCCATTGTGGAGACACAAAGAAAACACAACTTTCTGTCATAAGTCAGCAAAAAGCAATACAAATGTCTCAGAATAAAACTGATATAAAAAACATTTTTCTTACCTTGTAAGCAATTTTGACCACAGAGGGCGCCCATTTGTCAAGTTCATAGACCCAGTTAGACAAAGTCCTGGAAAAAAGGAAATCAATGACAATCACCACAACTTCTGGAGGTAAGATGTAAGAAGGGGGTCTGAATGCAGAGCAATTATAGAAACAGTCTTAGCTAAGATATGAATAGGAGAGGCAAGGGCAACTTGAGGAATCACGCATTAAGAGTGCTCATTGAAAATGTCTATCCTCAATGTTCGGACATAATTTACTGGATAAACATCAGATGAATTAAAAAATCTGTTGCAGTGTTGAAGCACAACAACTTTCCAAAGGGTCAAATGGATTGCAGATTTACAATGAGAGACTTTTCTTAGAGAGGGCTTTGTTCAGAACTTGGTCCCCTGGGAAGATCAAGCTCCTTGCCCATTAACTTGGACAAGGATGTAGGATTTTTAATTTCCCAACACACAATTACTATTGAAAGAGGGCAAGTTTAAGGCGTTCCTCCACATTAGCTCACTGTGCATATTAAAAAGGAAATTTAACACAGAGGCCCTGAAGTCAAATTTAGGCCTCTGCTGTGCTCAGTTTGATTACAAAAAGCAGTGCAAAAAACAACATATAGTTAATTTTAATCCTTTAAGACCTACAGTTGAAAATGAAAACTAATAATTGTAATTAGATGAAATATGAAATTGGCAATTACACCTGCTATGTTAGATGAAAGAACGCAGGAGGAAGAAGGGTTGAAAAAAAGGCACCAAATTAACTGCTCCCTGGTCCACCTTGGGGAGGTGGTCCCTTGCTGCTTCCAAGTGAAGGCTTGAGTGGTTAGTGTTTGAAGAATTTGGAGGGATGAATGGTGGTAAAACAGCAAGGGAAAACACACATTTTTACAAAGCTAAATGATTGAAGAGATTCCCATATGTGCATCTTTGTAATAACAGAGGAAAAGGAGTGTTAAGACAATTTTTACCAATTCATTTTAACACAGGTCATTTATGGGTTGAAACAATTTAATGTGTCCTTATTTTTGTGAAATTTGTTTTAGGGTTGTGTTTATTTCAATCTAAAATAAGTTCCAAGACTGATTTTAAACACTGCGTACATCGGTCCCTTGCTAGAAATATTTTAGGATGTCATGACACTGCATTATTAGAGCCTTGATGGATGGCAGCTGAGGAGTACTGACGAGAGAGGAACAATGATGAGAAAGGGACCGTTGAGCCTCTTGTACTCCATCAGGTAGGTGATGAGGGCGATGGTCTGAATGGTTTTGCCGAGGCCCATTTCATCAGCCAGGATGCCGTTTAGGTTGTTGTTGTACAGGGAAACCATCCACTCCAGCCCCTGGATCTAGATAACACAGAGAAATAAAGAAATGCCAAATAATTTTCTTGCAGACAACATATCATTCACTGTGGTCATTTCTTCAGGACATTTGTCTGTATTATTTCTTCTCCTTAAGCACATAAAAGAGAAGAAAAGCATTAACTGATCAAGACAGAGAGTGCTTTGGGAAGTGCTTTATCAATTAATTAATTATGTCTAATTGCATGTCAAAGAGACTGAATGTTTTAAGTGGAAACATTTCACCTAAAGGGCAGGCATGACAATCTGAATACTAAATAGGAAAAAATTCTGCTGGTGGCTCAGATGGCTCATATGCATAATATGCAACCAAAACATACAGGTTGCATGTCACGTCCTGCTCTTTCTTGTTTTCTCCTGTCACTTTAAAGTAGTGACAGTCTAAAAAGGTACAACTGCTAGAAAATAGGGGTTGTAACGAACAATTATTTACTTTATTTTTTTGTCAATTAATTGTTTGGTCTATTGTCAGTTTCCTAAGCCAAAGGTGACATCTTCAGAAAATCAGCAAATCCTCAAGACTGTCTTTTGAGGAGAAAATGACATTATCAATTATTCTATTATCAAAGTAGAATATGTTATATATAGAATTTTCTGATGATCGACAATTTACCTAAACGAGCAATCATTTCAGCTCTACTAGAAAATAATTAGGGATAAAAGTGGATTTTTAAATGTGCTTCTTTTTTTTCTACCAGCCGACATATGATTGTGCAAACCTTTATATGCACCTAAAGAAGTCAATTTGTTGCTTTTCAAAGTGAATTTTGCAAACGCACTTTAATCTCATTGCCACTTTTATATCCCAAGTGATGGTAGCAAAATATCACTGTGTAGCTTCCCTGGGGTCTGGGGGAAAACAATCAGCAAAAGACCATTTAGAAAAACAGGAAAGGGCATGAGGGCACTAGCAGCAGAAAAGGTGGTCGACAACCAATTACCAGCTGCGTGTTAGTTAACAAAATGCCTCACAGCACAGGTAATTCCAAATAAAAAATGCTGGTAGAGGATAAAATGAATAGAAAATGTTAAACTAAAATTATTCTATATTAATGTGTAGTTTCTGTAAATATTTGCTGTTACACAAATGGTTGTTGGCACAGTATGCAATTTATCCATCTATTATACAGCTGAAATCTCTCCAATTTCCCCTAGGAGCTGCCACCGTATCTAATTTAAAGCCTGGCACACCATAAATCTGAAGAGTGCTAGTACTGCAACCTGACTGGAAGAAAGAAAAATGTTAGCAGCATCCAATCACCAGTTCCTTATCTTGTGTAATAAACGATCTCTAACTACGATCCCCACTTACAACAGTAGAGTGGAGATTATAACGTCACACTGGTAAACAATGTGGTAGCATGTTATGAGCAGACAGCTGTCTTTAAAATTGACCATGATTCAATATTCAGTTTCCTAGCAACATGTTGGATCACACCCTCAATCCATCACCAAACCCACATGACAGCTGCAGCTCTTTGCCACTTGAACACTGCATGATGCACGATGAGAGCTGACAAGGACATATGTGGTTCCTGATTCCAGCTTAACTTCATACGTGTGTAGACAGCCTCAAGTGTGGCAGAAGAACTGCATAAACACCAAGACTGTTATTAGCTATAAAAATGTAAACCATCAAAATACAATACAGCCTTTCCACACACACACATCACAAAAGGAGGCTGAAGGCATCATCCTGCTTTACAATACCCTTTACTCTCTTTTAGGTTAGTTCACTAATCGATTAGTCTATCGACAGACAGAAACACACTGCCTCCAGCTTTTCTATACAAGACAAATAAAGACATCAACATGGGCTTTGGGCTTATGAACTTGGAAAAAATATCCCTTTCTAACATCATTCTAACAGATGGGGGACAAAATCTGCATTCCTGGCTCAATATAAAGATGAATTTCAAAGCTGTAGTATTTTAAATGCAGAATTTCCTCTTTTTGTTTCTCCAGACAGTGAGGTAAGTCATGGTGGAGACACATGAAGGGAATTTATGACCAAAAATACTGTACTAAAGCCTCATTAATTGTAAAGCTAAATCGCTTTATGACCATTATAGATAGGAGGAACAACTGAAGTGACCAATAACTCTTAATTAATAGAACCACTTTTAGTGCTATTTAGCACCATTTGTATGTACGTATGGGCATGTGAATATTGTTATAATGTGTACCATTCACATAATCAATAATGAAAAATCTAATACTCCAGCACAAGGATTTTCTCCTTCTCTAAATATTACATTACTATTTTAGATTACCGTCAACTTTTTCATAGATGGATTGTTCTTCTTCATAATATTCACTCGGTGTCTCGCTATGGGATGCAGCCTCCTGCAGCCCTGATAGAAGCATTTATCTCAATCCGCCAATCTTGATTGGCCGGTGAAGGTGTTCATCTGCGCCGCACCCAGTAGTCCCACCTACTATATATAGTGTGCGCAGATAACACTCGCGCAATTCAAAACCTCTTCTCACCTGAGAGCTTATCTCACGTCGGAGCTTCGCTAGCTTAACTGTTCACTAGACGGATCTTGCTAGCTTCCGTCACCGGATGCTAGTGTTGTGCTCTGGCTTCTGCCTTGTCCGTTCACATCAGACCGGACCAGTAAGTATTCTTTTTTCCGGCCCCTCCACGGTGGAATTTCTCTCGGCTCCCCACCACGGACGCTCGAGTCGGTCGAGCTAAGCTAGCACACCAGCTACTCCTCTCGACCCCACGCTAGCACATCAGCTAGCCAAGGCCCTTTTCTCCGCTAGCACTCCAGCTTGTCGGCGAGATGGCGGCCGCTAAAGATCCTCACACCAGAGGAGACTGTCGGCTCTGTCGCTGCGGGAATAAAATCTCGGGGAAGGACACCCACCCGGTGTGCAGTACCTGCCTGGGGGTTGACCACGCCAGGTTAGCCCTCGAAATTCCCGGGTCCTGTGGACACTGCAAAATGTTCACGGTCAAGAGCCTCAGACGCAGGCTAGCCCGCCAAGTTAGCCTCGCTGACTGTGACCCGTTTCTCCCCACCGCTGACCAAGGCGCAGCCGCGGAGGAAAACGAGGACATGGCCGGGGAAGTTCCGGAGACTGGCTACGACTGGGACGCCCAGTGCGAGCAGTTCCGAGCTCCCCCGTTTCCCGAGGAAGACGTGCTGGAAATCGGCCTCGCAGAGGATGACGATGACACCTCGTTCCTCATATCAGAGGACAAGGAGGAAGACGACACCTTCGTGGCCCCAGCCCCGGCTGAAAAGCCGAAGCTGTCGAAGCCTACCAACAGGGAGGAAAGTGGGGTGAGCTCTCCAGCTCCCTCCCTCCATGTGGACCTGCTCCACACGTGTAAACGTGCGGCAGAGAAGCTGGAGGTCCCCTGGCCGGTTGCAGTAGCGGAGCCCACCCGGTCCCGCTACGAAGGCAAGCGGCTCCCCCTGGCCCGTAGTGCGGTGAAACAGCTTCTCCCTGTCTTCCCCGAGTTGCTGGCCGAGCTGTCCAAAACTTGGAGTAACTGCCCGTACAGCAACAGGAGTCCCATCCCGGGCGCAGCTTCCCTCGACTGCGAGGCGATGGAAGCCCAGGGTCTCCTCTCGATGCCTCTGGTTGAAGCCCCCGTAGCTGCGCATCTCTGCCCGGGCAGCACGAGCCGGCTATCTGCGGCCTCCTCCAGGCGTCCGACGCTCCCAACCAAGCCCGAGCGGTTCCAGTCTTCACTGACGAGAGGGCGTACAAGGCAGCCGCCCTCTCGGCCAGGGCTCTCAGCGCTCTCTCCATCCTCACTGCCTACCAGACAGAGCTGTTTGGGGCGTCTGCTGACGAGCAGGACCTCGACGCGTGGGAGGAAATGGCGGTCATCGCTGATTTGTCCCTCCGCATCCAGCGCGTCTCAGTCCAGGCCACGGGCAAGGTGATGGCGACCCTCGTCATTCAGGAACGGGCTAGATGGCTCAGCCTCGCCAACTTGACTGACAGGGAGCGAGATGACATACTGGATATGCCAATCGTCCCGGAGGGTATTTTCGGCTCTGCATTGGCCACGATGCAGCAGAGGTGTGAGGCAAAGAAGAAGGACAACGAAGCCCTGAAACTTTGTCTCCCCCGAAAAGCACCCACGCCTTCACCTCCAGTGCAGCGCAAATCGTTCGCTCAAGCTGCTTCCCAGCCGCCGCATGTCAAGATCCCGAAGCGGCCGCAACAGCCCGGCCCGCCCCTCCCGCCGAGGAAGGAACCCGGAGCCGGCTGGCACGGAAAATCTCTCGCCCCGACCGCAGTCCCGCCGCCGCCCCAGACCGCCGCGGCCTCGGTCCCCCAGGCGAGGAAGAAAAAGAGAGCGGCCTGACAGCCTTCCTCTCCCCGGGTGGAGCATCCTGCCGTTCCCCGTTACGCAGGCCCACCGTTTTGGCTTGTTCGTGTGCGTCCCACGCCGCCGCTGCCCACTCCAGAGGCGGTCCGCGAGAGTAGAGACATCGCCTCGGAGGTTTGCGCTGTTGTGCCCCGAGCAAAATGTCAACAAGCACACACATAAACACGTGTCCCCAAATATGTGAAAATAAAAAGAAATCTGTCACAGCCAGGCCACGAGCCGAGGGTGCAGATAACAAAAAAAGCCAAAAAGGACGAAAATACCCCGTCTATAAGCAGTGTGGCCACCGAGCCCTCTGCAGCTCGCCCCCCGGGATGGGCATCACCATTCCCGGGGAGCAGAGCGACGGGCACTGCGGGGGGTGGTTTTCCCGCTCTACCGCAGGAGGGCGCCACAGCACCGCTGTCGGGACCTCCTGTGGTAGAGCAGAGGCTGCAATATGCGTCTCCGCTTTCTGGGAAAGCTGGAAAGCAACCGCAGCTTCTCCGTGGGTGTTACGCACGGTTTCTCATGGATACAGGCTCCAATTCGCTGCTGTACCTCCCCGTTTCTCCGGCGTGATACAGTCACAAGCACAGGGACAATCAGCTCGAGTCTTACAGGAAGAAATCCTCTCTCTGTTAGAAAAAGGAGCAATCTCTGTCGTATCTCCCGAACAGAGTCTGTCAGGTTTTTACTCCAGGTATTTTCTCGTTCCCAAACGGGGGGGAAGAGGAATCCGCCCTATTCTGGACCTGCGGGCTCTGAACAAATTTCTGCGGAAATACAAGTTCAGGATGCTGACACATGCGGCACTGGTGCATCTAGTAAGACCGAACGATTGGTTTTCGTCCCTGAATCTGAAAGACGCGTATTTCCACATTCCCATTTACCCCCCTCACAGGCAATATCTCCGATTCGCCTTTCCGTGCGTGGCTAGCGCAGTCCTGGAGTCCTAACTGGAACCCATGGACCCTCCCCCCTGGCCGGTACTTGTTCGATAAGCTGTCTGGCAATACGGGAGCTACCATATCCCATAGCGAGACACAGAGTGAATATTATGAAGAAGAACGTTTGGTTATCTAACATAACCGCAGTTCTTAGAATAATATGAGCGAGGTGTCTCGCCAGACAACCCTTCTTGCTGGGCGGTGAGAAGAGGTTTGCTTATTGAATTGCGCGAGTGTTATCTGCGCACACTATATATAGTAGGTGGGACTACTGGGTGCGGCGCAGATGAACACCTTCACCGGCCAATCAAGATTGGCGGATTGAGATAAATGCTTCTATCAGGGCTGCAGGAGGCTGCATCCCATAGCGAGACACCTCGCTCATATTATTCTAAGAACTGCGGTTATGTTAGATAACCAAACGTTTCCTTCCTTTCATTTCAGTATGTCTATTATAGTCAGTTTTCCTTCCTCCTTGGTGATTAGTTCAAGGACAAATCATCATCATATAAATCTGAAATAAAGTGGTGAAAATTTGACGAAAGCTTTTTTGCTTTTATGAGTCATGTTGTTGGAAAAATGAAACGCAGAAAAACAAATTAAATAAGAAATGATAAGTGAAAATAAAAATGTGAATTTGTTCTTGCATTGTTCTGCAGAAAGGTGATAAACATTCAATCTGAAACTAATTTGAAGAAATAGCGGATAAAAAAAAGAAGTAATGTAAAATAACAACCACTGTTTAAAGGTGAGCAATACAAATAGCAAAAAGCTGAAATAAGAGAGAATTTGTGTGCGTGCATGTGTGTACCTGGTAATGTTTGAGTGTGCCGTTGATCAACAGCGACGACTGCTTCTCCACCCTCTCAATGACAGCATGGGCCACACCATAATAAGACTGGGAGCTGGTTTGTCCGGTAGGAACACTGTACTCATCATCCACGTCCTGCTTGGCCGACCTAAATGTGTGTGAGATGTAGGAGAAAAAAAAGAGAGAATTTGAAACCCCCGACTGAACTGTGCACCTTAGATTGATCTTAATGATCACTTTCAAAGCTTAGCTGAGTCTGGCGCCATGAGCTCAGCTGGAGTACAGCCAGAGCTCCTCACTAAGATCCCCTCTGGAAACATCTAGATTCAGTACAAGGCCCAATAAAGCTTTATTTATATGTTCATCCAATTTTATTTTTTCTTTAATCTTAGTGTCTACAACTAACTAATCTACCCCCACGGTGAGGATCCCGCTGGGAAAATTAGAAGGAGTTTCTTTGAAATTGTTTCAAGAAGGAAAAAACTGTTCTTAAATTTAAATGATAATATCTTAACATACAATATGACTTTATTATAATTTCTGTTCTACTGATCCAATTCCTGGACTAAAAATAAGGTGCTATGCCAAATAAATCTGAGATAGTGATAAGTATAGTAAGTATAATACTCAATAATGTGCTTGGCAGCCGTCACAAACACCAGGTCTCCATTGGGATCAATTATCTTCTCCTCTGCTTCTGCCTTGGCTACCTCCTCTTCATCCTTATAAGGAAAAATTGATAACACATGACTGAGAGTATACATATAATAACAGCACAGACAAATCACAGAAGTAGCTCTGATAGGGATAAAGCAAAATCATCAGAAATAGCATTACTGAAGTGCATACAGCTACAGCCCCCTGGTGGATTTTGATGTGTGTATTTAGTGTGTGTATGTATATACTGAGTCGGTCCGACTGAGATGTGCAAAAAATCCCATTTAATAACATAACAATGTGCACGATTTGAAGCCCCACAGGGGAGGGAGGCTGATCTAAAATCCTCCACTGTGGGAGTTCATTAATGAAAAAGTCACTGACCTCCTCCTCAAACTCTGAGCCGCTCTCCTCGCTGTCTGACCGCGGGGCCACTTCATACCTGGTTTTTAAAGGAGGAACCGCCAGGAATAGGAAAACAAAGGAAATAAAAAGTACACTTAGTATATCTGCCACACATCAAAATAATACACACCTTCAGCACAATTAACAAGCAGCAGCACCCAATAGTTAATTTGGGATGGCATCTGGTTGAATCCTCACTCAACCTTGAAAGTCTATACACCCTTAATAAGCACAAAGCTTCACAATTCAATCATTCTAAACTTTTTTAAGGTCACAATATACCTGCAAAAGCAATTATTTATTTCTGTATTTTTTTTGTAAATGGGTATGTCTTGATTCAACACTTTCATGAGAAAGAAGTTTCTAGCAGAGAAATCATTAGGCAAGCAAGAGGATTTGCTCCTTGCATTACTAACAGTTCTTCTTTATTCATTAAAACTACATAGTTAGCATAAGCAATGATAACCACCATGGCTGAACCAGTGTTAATTTCGTTGATGAAGACTATGATGAAAAATATTCGTCAGCGAACCTTTTTCACGGACGAAAACTAAATAAAAATGTGACATTTACAGACGACTCATCCAGAAATACATGCAAAGGTTAGCATACACGCTAAGATTATTTCATCAGATAAACCACCGTGATTTAGTCGACTAAAATCTGCTAATATAAGACTAAAAGACTTAAGACTAGACTAAGACTAAAACTCTTATGATATTTAGTCGACTAAAACTAGACTAAGACTAAAAGATTTCAGATGACTAAAATATGACTAAAACTAAATGGTGTGTTATTCAAAAGACTAAGACTAAGACTAAATCAGAATTTGCTGTCAAAATTAACACTGGGCTGAACAGAGTGTCACCTGCAGAAACTCACTTATAATTACTTTGCAAAAGACAAAAATACCATTAATTTAATTTGTGTAATATGTCAGAGGCTGACAACATTTCTATGCAGTAATGTGTCTCCTCACCCAGGGTTCATTTCGAGCCAGGCCTCCAGTTGGCTGGATTTGGGAGCATCCGTTCCTTGCAAAACTTTCCCAGTCTCCGTCTGAATGACTTTGACTGGCAGCTCACTCATTTGGCTGCTCTCATCCATGGGCTGCAGGAAAAACAAACCACAAGGACAAAGAGTGAAATTCACTTGTGAATGTATACAAATGCTGTAATTAGAGGCTGAGAGAAGGAGGAAGGGAGACGGTCTTATTTGAACCTCAGTTTAATCTCTCCCTGGTGACTGTCATCACATATACTGAGTTTTAATGTAGCCAAATTCACAATATAAAATCATTATATTAGGGACACTAAATCACCTGAAGCCTGAATTTCTGTCTATATTCTAATTCAGATTAACATGGCTTTAGGTTCTGTCCTTGCTTCACCAGTACATTGTTTTAAACTATAATAAATCCCAGTTCCAAACCTGTCATTACCCCCCTCAGCAGAATCCAACATTAATGAGTGTTTCTTCAAACATTAGCCATCAAGCCTTAGTGTATCTATTTCTCACAGGAGCTAGCTGTAAGCTGATGGAAGCTGTGACGGAAAACAAACACTGCAAGTTTTTTCTTTTTGTTGCATTACTTACAAGAGACTCACTTTGCTTCAGTTGCACCTAGGGTGTAGTCTGGCTCTGACAGGATAATTACTGTTTCATCTGATGTTATTTTTTATCATTGCTGCCAGAGCACATTATGAGGAGTGAGGTAAAGTGCAGGTTTAATCTTACAGCAGACATAATACATCAGTGAAAGCAGCAAAGCAATTAATATCACCATAACAAGATTTGTTTGATAGTTAAACATCCTCAAAAGAACAAGGATAAAATAACAACCTGAGATCCATCTGTTAATCAGGTAGGAATGTGAAATGTGAAATAGTCTTTGAATCTACACTAATTATTCCAATAATAATTTTTGGCCACTCAGGGGTAGCAGAAACAAGCTGTGAACACATCATCATCTTGAGGGAAATATTCTCTCTATGCTCTTCAGCTGCTGAGTGCTCCACTGTGTTCACCAGCTAGTCTCTAACCATGTCTGTCTGCTGTTTGGTGCTGAGCAGTAGTGTATAGTGGGTTTTTAAAGATTTTTTGCTTGCTGCAGCTGTAAACAATGCGATGAGAGCAGTGCGTCACTATAAAGCTACATAAGGCAGAGGGGAGCTGCAGATTTGGGTGACAATTCTCTGTCAGTTCATCTCTACAAGCGACCCCTTTCACACTGACAGCACACTGTCATTTGATACATTATAGAAGTGTTGATTATAGCCACTTTAAACAGCTACACAATAGGTATGCATGTTAAATTACCAAAATGGGATAAAAGCTACAACAAAAAGGACTGCAGCTCACCTCTCCATCAGGTCCAATGGCGCTGGTGCCTTCACCATCTCCATCCACCTTCTAGACATCAAACACATAAACCAATTCAGCTGACATATCATTACAAATGTTATTCTAAATAACAGCAGGGTATGTTTAAAGTATAGGTAACACCAGCCTTATTAGTGATTGTGGCTCTAAAATACCTTTTGTTGCTTACAGTGGCATAGTTTCCTCCGTTACTCCGTTAAAGGGCAAAGTCACTCGCTCTTTAGAGATGATTAAATATCATGTTGTATACATTTCTTCCTTTTTTTATGTGCTAGTCTCAGAATCATAATCATACATGATCAACTGAGGTGAAACAGTATGTGGTTACAGAAAGAGCCTTTTAAAATGCCTAACATCAGTGTCAGGGGTTGCAGACCAGGTGTTGAGAGTCAGGCTGAGAGTCTGCAGGTGTTTGTTCCAGTCAGATACAACACCAGATGAGTTCACTGATTAGTTATGCCTCTCAGACAGAAAGGTGTGAAATGATGCAGGGTAGCGTGTACTCTCAGCCCACCGTGTCACTGTGTTTGAGACCCTTTTAACGCTTTAAATCACAAGGCGGCCACGTGATATCTGACAATAACCACGCTGCATTCTGAAAGACGCTTGAAAATAACAAAATAATGAACCATGAGATTAAAGTGATTATAACGCATAATTTATGTCACAGTTAAACCATGGTCAGTGCTCCGAGGGAGGGTTGGCTTGATATTATGTAAGGATATACACCGATCAGCCATAACATTATGAGCACTGACAGGCGAAGTGAATAACACTAATTATCTGGTTACCATGGCACCTGTCAGTGAGCGGGATATATTAGGCAGCAAGTGAACATTTTGTCCTCAAGTTGATGTGGGCAGCGTGAAGATTTGACTGACTTTGATAAGGGCCAAATTGTGATGGCTAAACGACTGAGTCAGAGCATCTCCAAACCAGCAGCTCTTGTGGGGTGTTCCCGGTCTGCAGTGGTCAGTAAATATCAAATGTGGTCCAAGGAAGGAAAAGCAGTGAACTGGAGACAGGGTCATGGGTGGCCAAGGCTCATTGATGCACGTGGGGAGCAAAGGCTGGCCCGTGTGGTCCGATCAAAGAGACAAACTACGGTAAATTAAACACTCAAACACTGCATCACAGTTAGTTGAGTATGGGGCTGCGTAACATTATGAGCACCAGCGTGCCAATGTGGTCATAATGTTATAGGCTGATTGGTGTATACCCAGCAATATTAAAAGACCAAGAGCACCAACAACATTACAGCTTTGGTCAAGGTCCAAAAAAAATAAAACTATATTTAAACTATGTGATTCATATAGAAATAGAATAAATAGAATAGAATACAGAGCATTTGTAGCATTTTTGCTATTGACTCAATAGGAAAAATACAGAATAACACAAACAAGTAAACAAGTAGAAGAATAGAAATCTGACATACATCAGCATGAAGCAACATCCTCTGAATCTCTGTCAGAATAATTACCACTTGACGATTTCTCTTACTACCTTCTTTTTCTTCTTTCTCCTCTTCTTCTCCTTGGCAGCTTGAGCAGCTTTGTGTTCATACACCAGGGTGGTGAGGTTGGCCACGTATTCATCTGTCTGCTGCAGCAAGTAGGCCAGACGCTTGTCTTTCTTTTGGTCAATTAGTTTTCGGTAGCCTTCTTCATCTTCTGCCTGAGTGGGGGATGGTGACAGGAGATTAATGGTGGAAGAGGATCAGAGCTTCTTAAAGGATCATAATCCCAAAAAATTTGATCTGATAATATTCATTCAGAACTAGTTAGTATATGCTTTGTATGATTAGTGCAGCTCTGGTGTGCTTATGCATCAATCCAATATATCACATGAGTGCCTCAAATCTTTAACCAACTGTGAAAGAACCAACCGTCCTGTGCACTGTACATCACTTATACCCACTGTACTTGGTGCAGTTTATTGTTCGGAGTCATAGATTTTGTTTTACTTTTAAATCAGTACACCATTAATTAAGCAGTGCTGTACACTGATATATTTATTCAGTGTTTGTCAGTTTGCTCTGGGTGTCCCTTTCATCTGCACATAGAATGCTGTCCAGTCAGTATGTCTGCATATGGTCAGTTGACCTGATTTATTCTGACCTCTGAAAGCTGTAAATTAATTTAAAATAAATCACTTGTTAAAATGTTTTCTTTGCAATCAATTTCAATAAAGCAGAGACTGACATCAAAAATTGGCTTAGGGTGTTAGGATTGTGATATTATTCCTGATATAATGTGAAAAAACTTCCGGGTCCTCACCATCAGTCTCCTCATCCTCTCCTTTTCGATTCTCTCAGTCTCTTTCTTCTGTTCCCGCTCTGTGTTGGTGTGCCAGTTGGCGACAGCTCTGGTGATTTTCTGGATTTTACCGGACACTGAGCGGTGATACTCTTTGAAGTCTTTAGCATGCTGAAGGATACTGTTGAGATATTCCTGAAAAATAAAGTCATAAATTTGTTAAGTAAAAATACTGTTTTGACAACACGGCAAACTACAAAAATCTCAATTGGCGCTGTCTTGCCAGATTCCACTTTCTTTGTCAGTTTTGTCATCCACTTCATTTCAACATGCAGAAAGTGTTTGATGCTGCCTTGCAAGCCTTCAGCTGTCTGGCATTGTTAAATTTTGTTCTGAATGTGGATGTCGACTGTCAAGAAACAGACAGCTGATGTCTGTTTCAACATTTCCTCTTCTTCATCTAAACTTTTCAGTTGCAGCTAGCAGAAAACATTTGAATGGCAAAAGTTTTGTATCTTGCTTCAAACATTAAAGTAATAGTAATTCATACTTTGTATCAAAATCTAAATAATACTGACAAAACTTGTTTCCAGGGTATTCATGGTTTGTGCAACCAGTACAAGAAAATAGTGCTGCTGCTCTACTGGTTCTACACTAAGACCACACTGGACCATTTTTGTTAAATCTTGAAAGCAGCCCCTCTCTGAGTTTTAGTATGAACACTCTAGTGTGAATCACCTGATGTTTCTGTCTGCGCTTCTTCTCCTGCTCGAGCTTCTGCTGTTTCTCCAACTTTTCAGTCATGCGTGCCTCCCTCAGCGTCTGCCGCTTGCTGCGCCTGTAAGCCTTCGAGTTGAGGGCCGTCTCCAGGGTCGTGTCTCGCCTCATACATGCCACCACATCCTGCCTCAGCTGAAGATATGAGGTTACACATCAAATTCAATTTCTAGGTATGTAAACATTTAATGTTGAATAATAAGCAGAGCTAAAAAGAATAATAAACTAAGCAATATTAAACATAGTTTAATAAAAATGATATAGACTTATATATATACTCCATGTCACATTCTCCCATTCTCACACATTCATACACTGATGGCACAGCCTCTGGACCAATTCAGGGTTCAGTATCTTGCTCAAAGCTTCTGTAAACTGCATTATTATACAGTAAAATTATCTTTCATCACTCTTTACCTTTCGGCTGCTGAGGAACTTTGATCATAAAGAGTAAACCCAGGGCAAAAAACATACACCTACAGTGTGGATTCAACCAGCACGAGTCAATAAAGAAATGAGAAACGTGTCCTGACACTGTGTCAATGGTTGAACTCCCTCGCTCAAGTCGTTCTGGGTAAATTAACACTGAACAACACGAAATAGAGCAATTGCTGCATACCTGTCGCTGGAAGTTGAGTAGACGCAATGCCTTGAGCTCCACTGTAGCTTTAGTCCTCAGGTCAGGGGGCAGAGAGCCTGGTAAACTTTCCAGTTCCTGGATTCGATGTGCAATCCGAGCCTGCAATCTGAGGATCATGAAGATGACATGTCAAACTGTAACAAACTGGTCTCAGCACACTATTTGAAATAAAACACAACTACTATGGAAAGACCACATAACAAATGCATGACATAAGAAGGTTAATGTATGTGTACACATATGTGCACTAAATTATTAGGGCTGTGTAATAAAAAAAAATGTGTTTGCTATTTTTGTATGTCATAAATAGGACAGACCGGAAAGGAAGTGGACAGAGAGGGGTACGATATGCAACAGGCTCCCTGGCTGGAATCAGCGTGGTATGCACTACCTCAAGGAGACATCTTAAAATGTGTTGCTTTGTCCAGACGATAGTCCAAAACAAAAAGATATTCAATTAACAAAACAAAACAGTAAATGCTCACATTTGAGAAACTGGAATAAGAAAATGTTCAGCCTTTTTGTGACTTACACAATATATAGATTATGAACATTGTTGTTACATATTAGAGTATTGGTCTGACAGAATAAGTATTATGGAGGTTACCAGTATCGTCATAAGGATCAGAATCAGAATCAGAATTGATCTAATTAGAGCTAGACCCATTTTCTTTATCTGTATCAGGCTCAAAATCAAGTGTCTGCTAGGCTATAATCTGTGCAATTGATTCTATAATAGAAAAATAAATCTATGATATAGTGGTGCAATCCTTTGAACTGACTAACCAACCACACAAAACGTCAATTATTTTATATAATTTTTAAGTATTTACCCTATTATAGGGGAAATACCACTGTATTGTAAGATACAGCCGGTTGTGAAGACTCTTTTAGTACTGGTTGTAAAATATTCCTACTGTCACCGATTTAGTATTCTAAAAACCAGTGAAGTTACAGTTGAGGACTCGAAGTGCTAGTATAATTTGGGAGGACTGGCTCTCAGAGTCAGATGAGTATCTTTGTACAGCTGTATGAACACAACCTTGGCAGAATGTTTCTGTATGTTGAAATCTACAGCAAATACTCTGTGACTTGCTTACTTTGTTTCCCTCATTACAATTCAACACCTGCTAACATTTTCTTGTCATCTAAAAAGAAAAAAGTTCAGGAAAGCAGAGAATCTATATACAAATCGTAAATCAATATTTGGTAGTATTTTTATGCAAGTTAACTCACCTCGTACTAACCCAAGGGGAACATTGCATCATAATTTATAAACTCTGATTTGATTTTATAACTCTCAGGCTGCCACAGATGTTTATCAATAAACTATCACAATGTAGCATGAATGTTGATGGGTTTTTTTCCCAATAGTTTCACAGAGGTACTGTATGTTCAGATGGCCTAATTGGACAGACTAGGTGAAGAGAGATCAGCTCTCTTTGGTCTCTGAGTAATTCTTGACCAATGCAGTTTGTCAAGGGTGATCTGAGAGCATGAAAAAGAGATCATCAAAACAAGAGCCTTGAAGTCGTATGAAGAAAAACAAGCCTTAAGGCCACAACAGGATTACGTCTTCTTTAAATCTCCATCAGACGTCTCTGTTTCTAGAAAATGATACAGCCTGCGGGCTAATATGACAGACGATGACAGTGAGTTGTGATTGTGTATGCACACAGCAACTTTACCAAAGACCATAGAGGCTCCAACACAAAACGTCCTTCACGTTATTTAGTTCAATGGTAACACATGCAAGATGAGCCATAAGATTTCTGTACCGCTTCCTCCACAGCTCAAGTCCGAATTAAATCAGTTCAAAGGAAAGGAGATAAAACACCAACTCTCTCCCTCTCACTTTGTTCTTGTGATTAGTGATAATGGGCTTTGTGATAAAATAAAAAATGACTTGACATGACTGTGACCCACATGTCTCCTACTAGGTTCTTCAATCACTTACCTCCTCTGAGCCAATTACTGAAACAACTTCAGACGTGAAGAAAGTTTCTGACTCTACCATGCACAAAGCAGCCTGAAATCTTGGTTGCTCTATCACATTTGATCTCAAATTATTTCAACAAAGAGGGACATGGAAAAAAACTCTTTATACCTTCACTTGTTCCAGAGCTCCAACAACTGGTGGAATATAATGTGAGGAGTGTTTTATGTTTGTCTGTGGTATATGTAGGACCCAGAAGCTGCCACAGTCTTATATAATCTTTACAATGCTGCTCAATAAATATATCCAACAAGGTGGAAGCTGAATTTAAACTTTTAACAGCATAACAACTTACTTACAATGACTGCCAATCAATGGCTGGTAAGTCTTCTTTCACATTAGTAATTAATCAGTAAATTATGTGGTTAATTTATTACAAAATTAGATGATTGCTGAGGAAGCTCTCAAGACTAAGACTTGTTCAAGAATTTTATATGCAGTATGTGTTCTGTATGTGATGTATAAGACCAGTGGTAATTGGGTAATAAAGATAAATACCTGTATTCTCTCTCTTGCAGGATCCCCACTGGGTCCAAGCCCTGGGGCTTCTGGATTGGCGTGACGCGGTTCTGTTTCTGCTGCATCTGGAGCATGGGGGACACCTGCTGCCCGGGAGGCTGAGGGGCAACTGAGCTGCCCGGCATGGGCCCAGCTGGCACAGCAGAGGCCTGAGGAGGTGCAGGGGATGGGCGTCCACTGGCAGCAGGGGTGAGGTGCTTCTGAGCATTGGCTTGATTTTCACCAACCTGACCTGGAGAGCAATGACTGTCTGTTATTGGGACAACTCTCAATGGGGCAGGTAGATACAGACATGACCAGAATCACAAAATAATTAATAAATCATCATTTAATATTGAGTATCTACCAGTACTGATCTGATATTTGTATTTTTTTTAGCTCTACCAGCTGTTCCTTAAGGTTTTAATGTGGTTGTTGTTTTTACACAATGAAGTATAAAACAAAAAACCCTCTGAACCCATCTTCAGTGTGCAACCTTCTTCCCCAATTTATCGGTAAGCATAACACTGTCCACGAGAGGGGAAAAAGATTCCCTGCAAAAAAAACACAAAAAACAGGCATGTTTCTTTATCGAAGTACACACTTTAAAAAGCTTTTAACCACACATCGTTCTTCTTCTGGGTTTAAGATCCTGGTGAAGACCTGTGTGATGGCAATACACTGTGGTCTTGCACAGTTAATATTGTAGCCATGATAATAAAGGCTTTTGAACTTTTGTACTTTAACAAAACAATGTGCCTTAAATTTTGGTGGTTATACTTAAAACTAAAAACTAATATTCTTCTTCCCTTGGCTCTTCTCATTTCTCTATTTTGTGCCACCTTGTGTCCTCTCTCCTCCGTCCTGTGACCCAAAATCAATTTAGCTTAATCAAGGGCCCCCTTTAAGGATGTCTCAATTCCTAAAATGCATCTGGATGAGAGAGGAGAGAAGAGCGAGGACAGAGGAGGCTTGTGGGGTTAGCAATGAGTGAGGATACATAGGTGTATCTTTTTCGGAAGTCTATGACGTAAAAAAGAGCTGAACCAGATATATATATATACAAACCATGGCGGGAGCAGGACTGTACAAATGTAAGCGTTCATTTTGAATTCATAAGTTGTACTAGTTATTGTAGATTAAGGGAAAAGTTATGATGAGATGATCAACTTTACATACAAACATTTGTAGTGCTTCAGACAATAAAATATTTAAAGGATACGTGTGTGTGTGTGTGTGTGTGTTAAATAAAAAAATAAAAATGTAAGACATCTTTACATTCTTGTCACATTGAATCAAAAGTAAATATATAAGATGTCATGAACACTGTTATGCTCATCCGAAAAGGATCTTAAAATACAGAGGTAGGCTATAACAAAACCATGTAGCTCCAAAACAGGGATGTGTAATTTTGTTAAATGCCTGTTGTCTCGACTCCTCTACTCGAATCTGAAGTTGGAGGGAGAAACGAGGAGAGGAGGCAAGGAAAGGAATCAAGGATGTATAAACTGAGAAATGAGAAGAGAGGCCTGTTCTACCGTCTGGTGCCTCACCTGGGACCAATTTGCCATCTTCTAGGTGCTATTGTTGTTTTGACTACCTAATTTCTTGTATTTATTCATTTTTAAATTGACCTCAGTGGGAGTTGAGATTTTTTTTTTGGTATCTTTATGTTTATTTGACTATTACATTAGATTTTCTCCAAACTTTTGTTGAAATTTAAAACTTTAAAACATGTATGTATAACGCAGCATTAACTTGTACCCCCAGTATATGATAGAACTATTTTAGAGTCTAACTGTTATACTACTACATTTAAATTATGGTTATGATGTGTTTTTCTATTGGCAGAAATATAATATTCATAGGTATGTTTTCATTCGTGTATAATTACCTGACAATAAGAATAAGATTAGCTGTTTATATCTACAGAGGCAGCAGGTCCTCTTCTACGGAGTCTGCCATGTTGAACCACCATGTTTCTACAGTAGCTGGCTGGCTGTAGATGGGGCCTTTTGCGTTTTTCATGAGTTTCGCAGACACCAAAGTTTCTCAGTATTCAGTTGGTTGCAATTTGCAACTTCACCACTAAATCCTACACAGTGGTCCCTTAAGCAAATGCCTGTTCTTGTTGCTATATGTGTGGTAGTAACCTTGACAGCTACAGAAAACCTGGATGGATGAATAAAGATATGAAATCCTTCAGAGGTAGATAAATCCTTTAATTTTAATGATGGCTACAATCCTTCCACCTGGGATCCCCTGGCACAAGGTATAATGTTTTTAAAAATATTTATAAAAAGCTTCAAAAGCTTGGAAATCAAAGAATACATTTTTAATGCTTCCTAGAGAAACAAAAACTGAAAAAAGAGCTGCTTCAATGAGAAAGACTCTTCTTACTACTTGGAATTGATTTCCACTAATTGTGCAGTTCAAAGCCAGGGAAGTACACTGTATTTTAAGTCAACCTTGGATTGCAGCATTTTTCCACAATATCCAGTGTAGTTAAAAAAATGTACTTTAGTCTTCGTTCAAAGAGAATCTGATGTAAGACTACACATCAAACAGATGGGTGTAGCGTGGTCAGCTGCAAACCTTTCACTTCGCTGGATTATGATGTGTGGAATGAAAACATAGTAGTAGTCCACACATTCACTTAAAGGACCAGTGGGTAGGATTTAGTGCCATCTAGTGGTGAGGAACCAACTGAATACCCCTCACCCAACCCTCCTATTCCAAGGGTGTAGGAGAACCTGTAGTGCCTTTGAAAATGGCAAAAAAAACTAATATTTTATTCAATTTTTAGCAATAGATCCTCGAAATGAAATGAAATGTTACACACTGGTTGGTAATTGGTCTACCAATTACACTTATAGAGACTTACCATCAGACCAAGGCTTGGGTCCTGTGCTTTGATTGTGTCCTTGCATGGTTGGGGTAGGGCAGGGACTTGACTGGGGACCACCCATAGGTGCCATTGGCATACCTTTCAACACAATAACAATTCATATATGTAATAATTAATCTGATGCATTTTCAAATTATGAGGTAATATCCTCTGAGCCTGTTTTGTGAACCAAACACATAATGTGATGAAATGGTAGCTACAGACTGACAAATGTGTTTTATTTTTGTTGCATGCCGTTTCTTTCTTGTTATCGATAATTGTCTTGACAAACATTTTCCTTTTTTCTCTCCCCCTCCCAACCTTACTACCTACATAAAACAAATATATAAGACATTATCTATACAGGGCAGGGTACCTGGATACCAAATTAGTAGTGTAATAAAGTGGAATGGATAGTTTTCTGTTTCTTGCTTCTCAAAGATTTGCTGCTTTTCTGTTTCATATCATTGTAAACTGAATAAATGTAGGTTTTGGACTGCTGATTAGATAAAACAAGTTTTATTAAATAATAATTTATAATAATAAAAAAATATTTTGAATTGATTGTCTGTATACCCAACAATCTGTGCCAATATCCCGTTACTTTCCATTTGACCATTTTAGGCCCATTTTAAACCACCAATAAACCCCCAAATGTTTAGTGTTTCTCTGATAGTTCATTGATATCAGGGTGGAAAAACATCTGACACTTTATAGATCATCTGCCACAGAACGCCTTCATAAAAACAGTAATTACAGCAATATAAACATCACCAGAAAGAAATATGACAAAATATGAAATTATAATCATTTTTGGATTTTGGATGCATCAGACACTGTGATACTGCATAATTTCCATCATATGTTTTTCACGACACACATTGGCGGATATCATATTTTTTAATATAAGCAACAAACATTACATTTATAAAAAAAATTGTGAGAAATACCAAATATGTTGTTAGTTTATTTGACACCAAAATTGTGTTTGACTGAGTGTTACCATGAAAAACATCTCTCACACTTGAAAATGATTTGGATTTGAGAAGCTTGAATTTATCAAGTCTCTGGTTATGATTACACCTGTATTTAGACTGCAAGCTGACACATTGTTCATGCCAGACTACAGCAACTGCCAGGTTATATTACAGGTGTGGAAGCTCTCAGGGGAGAGCTTGGGCACACTGAGCTATAAACCGTTCATGTTTTGAGGTGGCATGGCTCACATTCAATGGAGGACACGGAGCTGTCAAGTATGTTCTGATCTCTTGCATCGGATCGCAAAGTCACAAAAAAATACCATGCCAATTCTGGTTTATCTTTAAATTTTTGGAGAACATTCTCTGTGACAAGACAATCCTGAACAACCGAGATTCACTTGCTCATAATAAAGCAACCCACAGTACCAAATGAACCTGTTTCTGTCACTTCACAACTATATGTTCTTACCTGCAGGCCTGTTGTAAGGACTAGCACTAGGTGCCTGCTGCTGCGGCTGCTGTTGTTGTTGTTGCTGCTGCTGCTGCTGCTGTTGCATTGTGGGTAGGCTCCTCTTGCCCTGAACAGCCAGTTGGAGGTTTTCAGGCAGGGGTTGCCCACGGCCTAGGATCTTGTAGGCCAGGATCTGAGCTCGGAGCTGCTGCAGCTGGATCGGACTGAAAGCAGAAGGTCCGCGCCCCTGCTGGCCCATGTTGGACATGGCTCCCTGGGGATCCATGGGCATCATAGGGCCTGACTGGGAAGGAGGCATGTGGGGCGGTGTAGGTCCACCACCACCTCCACCTCCTGACATGGGACTAGAAGCATGCTCATGCACACCCATGGGGGATGGATGTGGGGATATGTATCCTACAGTAGACAGGAAGGACTTCATTACTTAATACTTTCACATACTCAGAATTTGCACTAATACTCTTAAAGCAGTGGTTCATCTTAAATAAATTTCAGGGGCTAAAACATTATTAAAAAGACAGAAAAGCAGAAAATACATATTTTTCTGACACAAAACTAGGCTATTTGTTTAAGACTTTCCTCTAATATTCGCTTTTTTTCTTGTTAATGACTGGATCATAACCTCTTTGAACAAGAATTACTACTGATTTAGTTCCTAATGCTAAAAAGTTGCCTTAATGCAAATTTGAATCAATAAAACAATTATAATTAAACATCCCTGCTTTTAGCTTTTAGTTTTAAAAACAATGCAATGAAATACCTTGGCTGTGCTGGTCCATAGGACTCTGTGGCGGCCCCATACCACTATGCAGAGATCTCATCCCTACACCTTTCATGTGACCGAAGTGCATTGCATCTGCCATGGACTTGTCATTCATCCCCTCCATGGTCTGAAGATAGGAAAAAAAACATTCAAGATTCATTCAACATATTTTCTCAGAATTCATATTTATTCTTATGCAACCCTGAAATTAACACCTGGAATACTGAAGTGGGATGAAATCAATCTATCAATCAAATATCCCACATAATTAAATATCAATATTGTTAAAAGCAAATGACTCATCTTACCCCTTGCACAGAGCAAAACCACATTTCTCTTTCTATTCAATAACAAGTATACATAACATTAAGCATAACGTAAACATATAGATCCTAAAATAAATATAAAAGAAACATATCGTTGCTTTCTTGCTATGTCCAAGAGATACTTTCTAAATTACCTTAAATCTAATTATATGTCTCATTAAAACTCCACAGAAACAACTGACCTGTTGAAGACATCACAGAGATATAAGATAACTACCACAACACTGCCCTTGTAACCAGTAGTAATGTCAAAAGACACTAGGCACACTTTACCTTGTGCATTGGATACATGCTGTCCTGAGAGTAATCACTTTGTCCCTGGCCCTGCATGCCATGAGGTGCGTTGGGTGTTCCAGGTCCAGGACTGGGTCCCATCATACTGTGGACAGAGCCTGGTGAGGGGTCCGGTCCAGGGCTGGGGCCCAAGATGGGCCCTGGGGATAGACCTGCCCCAGGAGAAGGGCCAGGATGGGACATACCACCTGATGTGTCTGAAGGGGTGGACATCTACCGAATTGCTGGGAGGACACCACACAGCTTCAGGGGAGAAAAAGTACAGACAGGATTTTAATGAAAGGCAAACAATACAAGTTGAGCTGCATTTTGTCTATGAAAGTCTTTTAATTTAACTCCTCTGAGGCAGTGTCAATAAAATCTGATCATAATAAGCTTTTTTTTTGCTGTTTCACAGGATTATGTTGTCTTCTGCAGCCTTTCACTGTGCATTTTCATTTTAAGCACTATGCAGTAACACAGTACCTGCTTTGGATGGCATTAGTGTAAAAAATTGAGGTGGCCTGTAAAAAAATATATATATTTTGGAATATATATATTATATATGTCTGCCCCTTTATCATATAAAATAAAACTAACCCTTTTTTTACAACTTGTAAATGTCCTATGTTTTTTAAAGATTACTTAAACCGAGCAGCATCCTGGCAGCCTAGTGTTTACAGTATTTGCCATATACTGTAAGCACAACATCCACGTTTAATTTCAGTCAGGGACCTTTGCTGCATGCCATTACCCTTTATTCTCTCCTCTCTCTAATATCCACTGTCAATAAAGGCAAAAATCCCCCCAAAACTCCTCTGGAATCATAGCCAGTGTTGCCACCTTCAAGCCTCATTTTCAACCAGGAAGAGCCCGGAGTAATGTCAACATCAAATCCACCATCACATATGAGCTGCACTGAGTATACGGACTGCAAACCCTAATGTAAACAAATGTCTGTCTGCAGTGGTTATCACTGTGTCTGCTCAGATTGTGCCCTCACTGGACATCTTTCAGCCTGACTGGCCACTTGTCTTCGCCACACTAGAAACTGTCAATCTGTTACTTTCTGCTGTCAAACCTCACACTAATAATATAATTATATAATTCATTATAATATATATTATAATTGTAAGCATTACACAAGTAAGGGTGTCAGTATCGTACCGTAACTACGACCACCATCAGGGCTGTCAACTAACGTTAACTGCCAGCAAAAGTAACGTTTGGACAGGCCGTATTTACAGCGTTAAAACAGATGTCTAACGTTACATAACACAATTTCCAAGAGCATACAGAAAAAACAGCACGATAAAGATCATATAAAGATAAAGATAAAGATAAAGATCATATAAAGGAGCTAGCGTTCGCGTTGTATGGCTGTTTTCGGATTATTCCTGTCGTTATAGTAACGTTAGCTTGGTAACGATCACTCTGTGGGACTAACGCTACTCTGATTGGATCATGGCTTCCCCAAAACTGGTGGCCATCACGGATATGCAGGCAAAATCAAAGTTTAGATGAAAGTCAAGCTCTTCACATGACCTTGGCGACATTATCTATAGACTAGAACTTTATTGTTACATCTCTAAAGCATACGGTTTCACATAACAAGCAACTGGGACGCTTTAGGCTGTCTGCATCGCTCGATCGTTGGGGAACTTAGCTAACAGCTAACTAGCTAGCTGACGTTCGCTAGCATAGCAACTAGCCTGCTAGCTTAGCCCGGGTGGCGCTGGTTCTGGTTACACAATCTCCATCAAGCGAACTGAGTCCAAGTCAGAAAGTTTGGACAGTTAGCTGTACGCTGAGTAATTAGTTACATGCCAGTAGTTATCTAAATGAAGCGCTGTTAGTCATGTTACCTTTCGGCTGAACTGTAACTGCACACAATTAGGTGAAAATATAATGTTTCTTCAAAATATGACTGCTATCCATAAGTTCACTCCCCCTCGGTGTTGTCTCGCTGACATATTAAACTTTTTTGTGTGTAGCCATTACTGATTTGTCAATGTCACCGGAAATCCAGCCTACCTCCACCGTGATTGGCTGAATCACATGTCAATCATCTTATGTTGTGTTTTTTTTTGGGGGGGGCGTGTACGTGCCCTGTAACCATTTCTGTAAGTTCATGGTTGAGTGCAAACAGGACGATATTTGAGTAAAGGTTTAGTATAAGCTTGGTGATTTAGTTTGAAGCATCAACTAATAATATCATTAAAATATTATTCCGACAACCAGTGTTTAATACTGTGTTAAATACCAGTGCAAATGGGAAAGAGGTGTTGATCTACTATTAGTGCTAAATCCTCTTCCTGCTTTTAACAAAACATTAATAAACCTTATTTATTTCCTAAAATGTTCTATAATTATAGATATATACGGTTGTTTACATACATACACTGGTGGAATGTAACAGAGTACTATTTAAAGGTAGTTGTATTTTACGTTGTTGTATTCTTCCACAACATTTAAGAGAGAAATATTGTACTTTTGCAACACTACAGTTATTTTACAGCTGTAACTGCACCAGTTTACATACAGAACCCATAAGCTTATAAAATATGATGCATTGTAACTGTGTATAAAGTAGCACCAATAATACAATACTGAGGGGGCGCTTAATGCTGCATAATGAGCACTTTTACTTTTGATACATTCAGTAAATGTTGCTGATAAGATTTCTGCAGTTTTACTTCAATAGAATTATGAATGCAGGACTACTACTTGTATTTTTGCATTGTAGTATTGCTACTTTTACTTAAATAAAATTTAAAACTTAATAAAGTAATTTCCCCTGGGATTATTAAAGTATTTCTAATTCGGATTCGGATTCTGAACCCACCCTCGTTAGACACATGAAGCCACGGGGCTATGCAGTAGAGAGAAGTACAGCACCTATGAGCAAAAAAAGTCTATATTAACACGTTACAATGAAGAATTTATGTCAACGATAGAATTTAATGTCATAAATCGAATGAAACATGGCTTATTTACGGAATGGTTTTATATTTCTAGGTGTGATCAGAGAGAAAACTTCAGCAATTGACACTCACAGTCCAACATTTGATAGAGGGTCTAATATTTGGACATTTTCATACATGTTGGTCATGTTAAAGTTTGGAGAATGTAGATGTAGATGTTTCTATGTGAAAACTTTAAAGCTACTTTGGGGAAAAGTTCTGAAAGGTCTATAGGCTCTCCTTAAAATGAACACAAGATGGCAGCAGTGACCAGAAGTTGCCTCAGTAAACTGGCCTCTGCAGCTCTGTGCTGTTACACAGAAGCACCTGGCAGGTAATGAATTACCACTGACATCTGAGCTCTAAACAAACATGCCAAGCCCAGAGTGATTTAGTGCTACCTCTCGTTTACATACACTAACTAACTAAGTCTGATGATGGCAATGTGGAGTTTCAAAGGCAAGGCCATGCAAATAATGCACAGGTTTAGTTAAGCCCCATTTGCATCCTTCTGATATCAGAAACGTTGTTTTGTTTTCATCATGAAAAGATAAAGCTGTTTTTACTGGGACATTTGTTTGTTTGAACTCGACTGAGCAATTCTTTTTTTTCTCTCCTGTTTTAGCACAGTAGCACAGTTCATAATTTGTCTGCATTTACATCAAGTGTATCTTATCCAAATAAATTAAAATAAATATTATAACCAAACCTTTTTAGGACAGAAATGTGTCAATATTAGGTAAGTAAATAAGTAAATAAGTCATAAGGAAATACATATTTTTAATGTGTTATTGGCTCCATCAAATACACCCAAACTCCACAAGATGCTGTATTCTATTTATCTATCTATCTGTCTTTCTATCTATCTATCTATCCATCTATCTGTCTATCTATCTATCTATCTATCTATCTATCTATCTATCTATCTATCTATCTATCTATCTATCTATCTATCTATCTATCTATCTATCTATCTATCTATCTATCTATCTATCTATCTATCTATCTAAGTGATGACATTTAGATGACCTTGTAAGACATTCAAAGCACTCCATCCTGATAGCACATCATTTGAATACCTCACATATCAATAAACAAAGCCGCACATTTAAACTTTGATCTTAACTTCCCCTCCTCAACAATTCTGCCCTTTTTTATAAGTTTCCATAAAGGATGTGCACAGAGTTCCTGAATGTAAATTTTACCCAAATAAACAAACCTAATTAACTTTGTGGTTAAAACCGCCGCCCCCTTCAAATTCACCGAGCCAGGAAAGGGCTCAGCCGCAGTCATTTGGCAGTGAAAGGATTAGTGGTTGTGGCTTCCATTCACCTTGAAACCCTCCGTAAAAGGCTCCGGTGAATCACTAGCGTGACATTTTATTCAAAGTCTACAGGACTTTAAATGGATGGGCTGAACAATGGCACAGATGCAAAGAAGGCCCCTTGAATTCATCCTTCTTCACTCTTTTTCTTTGATAAATACCCTTGTACCAATAATAATACTCGAACATATTTCCCTTTCTTTTGGGTCTTTTCTTTTCATTGCTTTGTCATTTTACTTTCTAAATAGCAATTAATCCCAGTATAGAGCAAATACAATTAGTCAAAAGTATAATTATTTTAGCAATAGACGGTAATTTGATAGCTTTAAAAGTTACCCAAACTTTAGCTAGAAACTAAAATTTCTGTGAGAGACTTTAAACTTGATTGTTTTAATTAGTGGGTCCGTGTGTGATGGCTGCTTTGTGTGACTTTTTGTTATCTTGTATATGTTGTATATGCACAAGAGATCTTGATCTTAATGGGATTAAACTGAGCTTAACTGACTTTCTTCCCAATGTATTAGAATTTAGATAGCACAAGTGATTTTGTTCATTTATAGAGCAATCATTTTGTTAATATTTGGTGGTTACAGCATTACTATTGGCAAGATTAAATTGCTTTCCTACGTTTTATGTCATTTATGTCACACATCACTCTGGGCAGCAATTGACATTATTTTTAATACCTCATGGATTGAATGATTAACCAGTTTATTGATTGATTTGATTTAAGCAAAGCTAAAAATGAAAAAAAAAAGTTCTTAGAAATATGTAGTTTACAAAATACATGTGTGTAAATAGTTATCTCTGGTCAGTTGTTAAATCTCATACATACACACCATAATTAATATGCCCCAAAACAAAGTCTGTCTCCTGTATGAATAAAGTACCAAGGTAACACACAAATAAAGCATGCAGTGAGACAAGGCCTTTTCTTATATCCTGCTGTCGTTTTCTGTAAGTGAAACATTTAAATGAGACGAAGTGGATTTAAATGAACCACAAGTTACTTTAAACACAAAATGCTAAATGCAAATGCTTAAAAACGAACTAGAAACTACATTACAAAAATATTTCAGTGATAAATTGCTGTATCTTTTATGAGACTGTGACGGAAAATGTATTATGTCTCTAAAATATAGCAGATTCTGGCATAAATTGTTTAGCATCATTTTTTAAACAGTGAATAGTTTTAACTATGACATATTGGAACAAATCTGTGTATCATTAATCTTCATGTATTATATGGTATTTGTATTGTATTATATTTAGGAGCCTTACAAAAAAATGAAAGGATTTTGTCTGTCTGTTGTTTGCATTTAGTTTTACTGTCAAGCATCAGACACACAACAGGCAGACATGCACAGACATCTACACACACTTGTGCATGTGCACACGCACTGTGTTGTTATCCACAGGTGTGTGCAAACAAAGGGTGTGTTATAATTAGCTTTACATGAGCCACATTTGGCAGCGAGCTGTTTGTTTTTACTCTGTGTTATCTGAGAGTCCCATTTGAATAACCAATGCTTACATTGTGGTGCACTTATTTTATTTCTGAATCAGATGATGGAGTGGTTGTTTAAACAGAGAAGACAGCTGGCATCGAAATAATAAAGAGGCAATATTTACTAAGAGCAGACACTTGTGCTTGTTTAGTAACAGTTTACATTTGATTTGTTGCTACTTGTTTAGGTTTTTACTACAGCAAGCATTGTATAGAAATTATGATTGGTATTAGCGGCTGAAAGAACTTCCTCATGTGTCCTTTTTCTTATTCTATTTCTTGTTCCTTTTCTCCCCTTTCTGCTTTTTCTTTTCTTGTATTTCCTTTCCCTTTTATTATCTTTACATCTAACTCTTTTTGCATCTTCACTCACAACACTCTCCAAGCACCTTTTGATTTGATTTGTCAATGGAGCAAATAGCCTTCTGGCTAACTTTTGCCATTTCAGAGGACCAGTGTGTAGGATTTAGTGGCATCTAGCAGTGACTGTTTTTATCTATAGATAAAAAATGGTTCATTCTGAGGTAAATATTTGTTTGAAAGGGACAAATCAAAACATACGTATGAATATTATATTCAATTTCTGCCGA